ATTCGATCCCCAGAAGCCCATTCTGACCTCTCACATTCCTTGTATCTTGCGTCAGATCCACAGGCTGCCAATTAGTCTGTGCAGCGCATCTCTCTCTTCACCATGTTAATATTAAGAACATATTTGAGAGTGAGGTTTGCAATAAAAGAAAAGGGAGGACAAGGTTTTTATTGCTAATAAACAATATTTGATAATTTTCTAAATAAAGCAAATAGAAAGATAGATTAATATAAATTGAATGTCCTATTGTTTTTTCTATTGAAATTATGTAACTCTTAATTGAATGTACCCTAAGACAATTCACAACTCTACCACTACCCAATACAGCAAGTCCAATGTGTCTCTCACTCCAAATGACCTACCACCAACCTTACATCCGACAGATTGCCCTAACAAGTCCCATTACTTCCCAATAGGCCCAAGTTTACTACCTTGAAAAAGGTCATCAAAAGCAACAACATTGAAGGGACTCGTCCTAAGGAAGAAAACCAATAATTTGAATTATGGGAAGATGAGGACTCCCTTGTCATAACATAGTATAACAGTAGGTAGAGTTTGATTATGTGATAAAACTTGGGGGTTGGTGCTAACTGGAGTTTGGACCAAATGAAGGTAACTCTAGGCAGAGCAGATCAGTGTGACTAAGGTAGGACCAGCCCGTTGCCATGTCCTGGCCAAATGATAGGGTATGGATCTGACACAAGACAGAAGAAGGCACATAAGAGGCCCATGGAAGGTGGGCTTCCGGTGAAAAGTTGATGAGTTTGATCTTTCATGTAATTGTTAATATAGTCAATCAAATTAAATGAGGTGTGAATACTAAATTAGACGATGGTACAAATGACTTTACACCGACAATTAATAGTTGTAGGAATTGTGTGTGTGATCTTGTATGCAAATCAGTGTTGTCAAGCCTGATATTGTTTCATATGTTCCAGGAGAAATTTTTATTGATCGTCATAATATCAAGGATCTTGATCTGAAATTCCTTCGAAGAAATATAGGGGCGGTTTCCCAAGAACCATCACTCTTTGCAGGCACCATCAAGGATAATTTGAAAGTGGGAAAAATGGATGCAGACGATCAAGAGATTCAGAAGGCATCAATTATGTCAAATGCACACACTTTCATATCACAGCTGCCTAATCAGTACCTGACAGAGGTGAGCTACTTAAACTAGTATGTCACTTTTTTAGCTTAATGCTGTCTTGTTTGATATTTCTTTATTGTATTAATTAACAGGCTTTGCATACATTAATCATATTATGATCCTTTTCTTATTTAATGCCATATAACTAGAAAGAGAAAAGAGGACATTAAGGAAGTAACAGAGATATAAAGCCAAAACAAGACCAGGAAAAAAACTGAATCTCAATCTTACCTCTTTTATCCGGATCAGAATTCCTTTCCATTTGGGGCTTGGCAAATGAAATTCTCAAATCTTTAATTTTAGCAGTTGTCTTAAAATTGAGGATGCTTCTACCTAATATTTTAACTTGGGGCATTCTACACAAAATTAGACTAACTTCTGATATGGTTTGACTTAATTACACTTGCACCTTTCTTGCTTCAATAGCTACACTCTCTTCCCTTAAAGGAGAGGAAAGTGAAATGATAATCAAATCTCAAAGGAGATGAGTGAAATGTTTGAAACAAGAGGTGTACTAACTGTAATTGAGTTAAGCATCAAGGGAGTCAATGTAATTTACCCTTTTAACATTAAACTAAAATTAATAACAAAATTGATTTCAATAGTAATCAACTTGTCAGGATACAAACAATTCTACCCCATAGAACTAATTTTAAGAGACGTTAAAAATTTTAGGCTTCGAGGTGAATAAAATTGATGGAGTATAAGACCCACAAAATTTTCAAGACCATTTACATGAATATTTCAATAGTAATTCTTCTTTACTGTCCAAACAAATCCTACTATTCAAATCACTTTTAAAGTATCACTCCTAAATACAAATCAAACTTTTTAACACCAATTCCTCATAAATTGACTCTTTCCACAATTCTTTCAATTTTACTTAACATTCAGTGCATACACATAGCTTCACAAGAGAATCACTATAAAACATGTGCGTGTGTGTTTCAAAAGTTTATGTGAATTGATTTTCTACCTGCTAAGCTAACCCACCACAAAAGGGTTGTATTAGTCTTTCCAAGCCACCCAAAAAGCCAGTTAATGTGACCTTCCCCAATTTTAGCTCACCAGTGGCAGATGGGTTAAGTTGATGCATTTTTAAGTGTCTTCTGGCTACATATATTTCTTCCATCATAACATTTATGGGCTCATATGTTGGCCAAAATGCTTGCCAGGTAGGACAAAGGGGCGTCCAATTATCAGGAGGCCAAAAACAGAGAATTGCAATAGCAAGAGCCATTCTGAAAAATCCTCCCATCCTTTTGCTTGATGAGGCCACCAGTGCCCTTGATTCAGAGTCTGAAAAGCTGGTTCAAGAAGCACTTGAGACAGCTATGCAGGGAAGGACTGTCATCTTGATTGCACACAGGCTCTCAACGGTTGTAAATGCAGATATGATAGCTGTAGTAGAGAATGGACAAGTTGTACAGACAGGAACACACCAGAGGTTGTTAGACACAAGCAGATTCTATAGTACATTATTCAGCACGCAGAACCTTGAACCAGTTCCTGAATCCAGGTAATTAATCCTTTAATGTTCATTTAAGTATATTATGAATGAGAGGGTATGGAGGAAGAACACTATCCACTAACCAGCTTTCAATGTCAAATGGATAGATCTACAATTTCCAAAAATAGAAGTTCTCGCCAAGAAGATTTCCCTGATAAACCTAGACCACTAGTAGAAGAGATGCAGATACAGGTCCAGAGAAATATCACTGATCATTCTGTGGTAGAGGAACAAAACAAAATGAGCAGAAGAGAAAGAAATATATTTTTCAGAATTTGGTTTGGTTTAAAAAAGAGAGAGCTGGTGAAGATTGCTCTTGGCTCATTTGCAGCAGCATTCTCTGGCATCTCAAAGCCATTTTTTGGATTCTACATCATCACCATTGGAAGAGCATATTTTAATGAAGATGCAAAACGAAAAGTTGGATTTTATTCGGCCATCTTCACTGCAGTAGGGTTGCTTTCATTATTTAGTCACACCTTCCAGCACTACTTCTTTGGAGTAATAGGAGAAAAGGCCATGGCAAATCTCAGACGTGCTTTGTATTCAGGTATCAGATATCCCCTGTTAGAATTTCCATACATTCACCTAATTTCTCTTTCTTGGAGAAAAAAACCTGAGGCATAAGCTAAAAGGACTAAAATGATGCATCATGCATAAAATCTCAGCATGATTTAACAAACACCAGTCAATAATCCTTTAAACTTTTACAGGTGTGCTTCGTAATGAAGTAGGCTGGTTTGAGAAATCTGAAAATACTGTTGGTTCGTTAACTTCACGCATTATCAGCGACACTGCCATGGTCAAAGTCATAATTTCTGATCGCATGTCAGTAATTGTGCAATGTGTTTCCTCCATACTGATAGCAACAGTTGTCAGCATGTATGTCAACTGGAGAATGGCTTTGGTAGCTTGGGCTGTGATGCCCTGCCATTTTATAGGTGGTCTCATTCAAGCCAAATCTGCCAAAGGATTTTCAGGTGACTACTCTGCTGCACATTCTGAGCTTGTTGCTCTAGCATCAGAGTCTGCGACCAACATAAGGACCATTGCATCATTTTGCCATGAAGAACAAGTACTGAGGAAAGCCAAAAGATCTCTGGAAATTCCAAAGAAAAAGTACAGGAAAGAAAGTATCAAATATGGGATCATTCAGGGCTTCTCCCTTTGCTTGTGGAACATTGCACATGCAGTTGCTTTGTGGTACACAACAATTCTGGTTGACAGACGTCAAGCCTCCTTTGAAAATGGAATAAGATCATACCAAATTTTTTCTCTCACAGTTCCTTCTATCACAGAATTATACACATTGATCCCAACTGTCGTCTCTGCCATCAATATACTAACCCCAGCATTCAAAACCCTTGACCGTAAAACTGAAATTGAACCAGACACACAGGATGATTCCCAACCAGAGAGGATCCAAGGAAACGTTGAATTTGAAAATGTAAAATTCAACTACCCTTCAAGACCTGAAGCCACTGTTCTTGACAATTTCAGTTTACAAATTGAAGCTGGATTGAAGGTAGCTTTTGTAGGACCAAGTGGAGCTGGAAAATCCTCTGTTTTAGCCCTTATACTAAGATTTTATGATCCACAGGCAGGAAAGGTATTAATTGATGGGAAAGACATACGGAAATATAATCTAAGATGGTTAAGGACACAAATAGGACTGGTACAACAAGAGCCACTGCTTTTTAATTGCTCGATTAGAGACAATATTTGCTATGGCAATAACGGGGCTTCTGAAAGTGAAATAGTGGAGGTTGCCAGAGAAGCAAATATACATGAATTTGTAAGTAATCTACCAAATGGATATAACACTGTTGTTGGAGAGAAAGGCTGCCAGCTTTCAGGAGGACAAAAGCAAAGAATAGCCATTGCCAGAACCTTACTAAAGAAGCCTGCAATATTACTCCTTGATGAAGCAACAAGTGCTCTTGATGCTGAGTCTGAAAGAATTATAGTAAATGCTTTAAAAGCAATACATCTAAAGGAAGACAGTGGCCTGTGTTCAAAAACCACTCAGATCACTGTAGCTCATAGGCTTTCCACAGTAATAAACTCAGATACCATAATTGTCATGGAAAAAGGTAAAGTTGTACAGATGGGCTCCCACTCAACCCTAATAGCAGCAGAGGCAGGACTTTACTCAAGGTTATTCAGGTTACAGAGCTTTGAAGAGACCTCATAGGTTGACACTAGACAATTTTATACAGATCGGGTACCTGCAACTATGACAAGTATCTGTACCAATTCATAAAATTAGGTTTTCCTTGTATTTCTTCTCCAGTGTAATAAATTATTGTCAGAATAAATGCCAAGAAAAATATTTCAATGACATGAAATATAAGATAGTGCCTGGAGGGAACAAAGTGCTTTATATGCTTGTTTAAAATTCAAGAAAGACACTGTGAATTGTCTTGAGTTCTTCCATCTCCTCCTCGCTAGCAATTCCATAATCAACATAACACAACTGAAATAGAAACAACACCATCAAGCTTAATCATTTATTGGTGGAATGCTATTGTAAATTTTTTGTTAAAAGAAGACCTGGTATTGTGGCTTCTTCAGTGTATGCATTCCCCTTTTTATGAGTTTCTCCCATCCAACTTTCTGCCTTAGTGATCTTTCAAGAGTTGCTGTACTCTATAATGATAAATCACAATATTTGAAACTTGAAAAGATGCATAATCATTGCACAACATGTGTACTCCAGAATACCATTCTAATGTGGTGTGTTAAATGGAGAGAAGATAAATACTTCCAACTATTTTAAAAATAAATGACTAGTTAACTCATTAGTCCAAAGAATACAACCAGACAAAGCATGAATAGAAGTGAGGATTGCCTCCTAATTCTGATATTCGTTGCTTTGTAGTTTGGCCCTGGTGTTAATCAGAATTAAGGTATTATTTTTTTTTCAACAAGTTGGAGAAAACTTGACAAGAAAACAGAAAAAGATCAATGGAAGGCACAACTCTCAACTAGTTTAGTTGTATTTAATAATAACAATAATAAAGATATTAACAGGTAAAGCAAAAAATGAGTTTCAATTTAGTTCATAAGAGAAAAGAATAGAAAAAACATATTAGGGAGCAAAGCTCTTCCATAATTTCCAGATTCTAACTGACTTTATACAATAAGAACAAGAAATTCTATTCAAGTAAACTATTTGTATTTCACAACTTTATCAGACTTGGGTCTTTTCTGGAATTCTTGACATTTTATATATATACACTTATTTTCCATGACTAAGAGAATGATAAGCGAGAACTCTCTGTTTGTATAGCATGAGTATTTTGGTTCTTAGAAAGACCATATCTCTTGGATCCCTAAAAAATGTCTTTAACAATGTCTTTAACAAGTTTCAACTCCATCCTTCCATTCTCAAAATAGTCCTTATTACGAGAAGACCTGTTCTGACTACAGTAAATTTCACTGCATCCTATGCTTGTTCTCCTCTAGTTTCGTAATGATGATAAAGCTATTAAGACATTCATATCATATGCAATCGCTCAGAGTCATCTAATGACAATCAAGAAAATAAATATTAACAACAGAATATAAAACTGGCAATGCAGATAAATTACATGTGCAGGGTCCAAAACTAGGAGATTATATTGCAGAATTCCTTTCTGTTGATGTTTGACTTGAATTCCAACTATTGTTCTTGAATGGCCATCATGTTGAAAGTACAAGGGCCTGTCCAAGAAAGCATTCAGAAAACTTAAAAACAACTTAAGAAACAAAATTGTTTTTATGGATAAAAATGTGTCCTCTCACTCACGTTTTCTCACTGATCACAACATGCTGTTGACCAAATTGGATTGAGTTTTTATCTGAAAAGTAATTCCACACAAAATCCATGAGAACTTGATAAGCCTCATCCTTTTTAGCTTTTCCTTCAACCATATTATGAGTACTTGCTTTCTTTCTAGTGTTATCAAAGCTTGAACCAGGGATAGTTTGGGATTCCTTGGGACCAAAATCCACTACTCTTGCCCGAAGAGCAAAGGAACGCAAAAGAGCAGCACACTCAGTAGTTCCTATCCATTTTTTTGAACCATAAATAACATGATTGAATTGAGCAGACCCAGGCACATCAAAACCCTTTTCCCAAGCAATCTCAACCCATCTCTGTAGAGACGGAATATCAGGAACAAACCCCGAACCACCAAACAAAGCTTTTCTTGCTTCTGGTCTTTGCACTTGTAAGTGAGAACTAAGCATTTGAATGTTACGCCATCCACACCCCCATCCAGCATCCTCAGACTCAAGGCACTGAAAATGATCGACAAAACCCGACAAAATGCTCTTTGAATTTCCAGCTTCAGACTCCAAACAGTTCCTCAACAAGGTCATCAAACCCACCTCAATTTTGTAAAACTTGCTCTTTGTCTGTGAACCAATCAGGCAAGAGATTTTGTCATTCACTTTGCATTCCCCATTATCTCTACTAGTCCCACCATGCCGAGAACCATTGTCTTCTTGTTCTCTCTGCAAAACACGATATAAGACAATTTACAATACATACTTAATACCCTCTATTTTACACTATACATTATTGAAGAATGCTAATAACACACACTCTTATTGACTCTTTCTAACACATCTTCTATTATTACTTAAAATTTATTAGAAACTACGAAATTACGAGTAAGACTCGTTGAATTAGAAACAGAACCTACGTAATATTGTGATTCTCAATAAATTTCATCTAATAATAAAGAGTATAGTATGTTACTAGCATTTCTCTACGTGATTTACAATTCAAAACTTGTAATTTAATTTTTAACGAAAAGGGAAGGGAAGGGAAAATAGATAAAGATAGAACGAAAGCGAAACCGGAAGAGAATGAATTTGAAGGGGTGAACCAAAACCATCGTCAAGATCGCGAAAATGAGAGTTGGCGTGCCTGCATTTGGAGAATCATATTAAAATGGGGAAGAAGATGAATAATGGAATATGCATGTTATGTTACACACACAGACGTACACAAGAAGTTGTGATGCCAGTGATGAATCGCAAAAGGGGCAAGTAGCCCATGAATCTGAATCCATATTGCCTTTACTATTATCACGAATGGAACAATAATGGTGAATTAAAACGCCCTTTGTTTTGCTTTGTATTCCCTTCTACAACAAGTTTTTTCAGAGCTTCAACGACACGGGGTTAACTTCAACTGTTTTTTTTTTTTTTCATATAAAAATTTCAAATATATAAATTTATAATAATTATCTATAATGTTAATTTTAAATTATTAAAATAATAATTATTTTTTCTTAAAAATAATAATAATTCTTTGTGATGATGTATATTAAATTTTATATAATTTCAACATTTACATGTATATTATCTAAAATTTAATATTTATTTATATCTTAAAAATATATTATTTATTAAAATAAAATAATGTTATAAATTATTTATTAATTTTTATATATAAAAATTTAAAATTAAACTATTTTTTAATAAATTTCAAATTAATAGTTAAATTGATTAATTTTACATTTTTTATAAATTTTTTATTACAATTAGCAAATATCATTATAATAAGAATATGCATTATTAGTTTATGCAAAATCTTAAAAATATATATTAAATAAAAAATATTTAAGAAAATAAATTAACTCAAAAAATATAAATTTAAGAAATTAAATATAATAATATTCTTAGCTATTTTTAAAAAAAAGGTAAATTAAGATAAAAATATTAGTAATACACTTTCTAATATATTTTAAATTATAAAATAAATTTTTTAAAACTAAAAAGAAATATATAAATTCACTCTTAATTTAATAATTATTATATTGAAAGATGTGTAACTTGTATTTGATATTAATATATTAAATTACTATCAAAATAATATACCATAAGTACATAATATTAATTTTTTAAAAATTTTAAAGTAAATTTTAATTTTATCATATAACTTTGTTTTGATTATTTTGATTTTAAAGTATTTAAAAATATTTTTAATGTGATATTTTCTACTAAAAATATTAACTTTTTTTAGAAAAAAATTATTTTTTGTTACGTGTGGATGTTTTTTAATTTTTTAATTTTTTTTCATTTTTTTCTCTTTTTCTTCTTATTCGTCATCATTTTATCATCCGTTTTTTTCTTTTATTTTTATTCTTCAAAACCTCATGTAATAAACAAATGATGTTGCCATCACTCAAAGAGAGACCACACCACAGCTAATAACAATGTCTTTAAAATCCTATTGTGTGTTAATGACTTTTTCTTCGTGCTCAATTAATTCGTTGTTAACACCTCTCTGATTTTAAGCTTACATCAATGGTTGTCACTTAATTAATTGATAAATATCTAGTTAACTTCTTAATTTATTTTCAACTGTTCTAACTTTTCAAATTAAGACTTATGTAACTCGTCTATGTATTAATTATTCCTCACCTCCATTATCGTCAATAAGGTTAAAAAAAACATTGTCTTTCTTTTTGAGTGGTAACAACATCATTCTTTATTCTTTATTATGTGTGGTTTTGAAGAAGAAGAATAGTGAAGAAAGAGAAAGAAAAGAAATAAAAAGAAGATGATGAATGAGAGAAAGAAATGAAAGAGATGCAAGAAAAAAAGGAAAGAACTATTTTTTTTTTGTCACATGTATTATTTATCTTTATATTTAAATGAAAAATAACTCATTTAAAATATTTTTAAAAATTAAAGTCAAATGAATTAAAATAAATTAGTTAATAAAATACTAATTTTGACATTAATTAAAATACTTACCATTAAGAATAAGGCAACTTCTTTATTTGTTTTTTATTAATTACATTGTGTTCATTAAAAAAATAAAAATCACATATCCTTTTCTTTTATTTTGTTTTACGTTAATTATTATTATAATTAAAATTTGATATTTTTCCATGAAGAAAATGAGCATTAAATACATCGCTTACATAAAATATCAAAATATAAAGGTGATAAATCTAGCAAACTCTCTTGTATGTCTTGTATGTCAACAATTTACGGTCTAGTTACAGATTAGTGAATAAACACTTAAATTAGATTTTGAAATATTTTGTTAGACCTAATTTAATCTTTGAAAAATGTAAAAATTACAAAATAATATTTATTTTTTAAAAATATATTAATCTCTCTATTAAAAGATTTATATTTAATTTAACAGAATTATATTTCTATAAGATATTAATTAATCAAGGTGAGATATGTAATTTTCATCATACAAGCTAATTGTCATAAAGTTTATTAAAAAAAGAAAATTAATTTCTTGAAATATTTATTAGTGTCAAAATTTAGAGATCAATTTGACTTAAAAATAAGTGTTTTTGAAAATTATATTTTTTAATAATTATTTGCTTAGATCTTAACATGCCCCATAAAAAAAGGATTATTCTTTAATGACTTTAACGTTTTTAAAGATAAATTTAGATTGATACAAGTTTTCCAGTTACCATTTTAGATATCTACTCTATATTAAAAGTTTCCAAGCCCAACTCCTGTTCCTATTTGGTGGGATAAAGTAGTTGGTTTATGGATTTTTTTTATAACTACTAGAACACAAAACCAATGATATAATAATTAATACATATATAAGATTTATATAACAAATTAAATTGTTAACATATTTTAGTATTATTGTGCTCTTATGTTAACCCACTATGCATTAATATTTGACATTTAATATCTAATTGATGACAAAGTTCGTCCGTAGAAGATTCTTAAACTGTTGTATTATTTTTTAACATGTATTTTTAAAAATATATAAAAAATGCATGATTACATTTTTTTATTTTAAAATATGTGTAATTTTAAGTAAATACGCTCCTCTTGTCTTTTTTTCTTTCTATATAGATTATCATTTATTTTATCCAAATACTAAGAGCTTATGTGTAATTTTAAGTAAATATGTTAACCCACTATGCATTAATATTTGACATTTAATATTTAGGCTTTTTTATTAAATTATTACATATTTAAAAATTAATTCTTAAAATAAAATTTCTTTGTAAATGAATCTCTGTCTAGTCTATTTTTTGTCAAATCAGTATTATTATTGATAATGCACTAACAATAGTCTTATTTTTATTATTTTTTAATATTCTATCAGTCACCTTAATCTGATACTACTCCACTAAGTGACACATGGGAACTAAAAATAAAAAAAAATTAAATAATAATAATATCAGAACAAGTTGAACGAGACAAAACACATGTCAACAACGCAACGATAGATATTTGAAATGGACAGTCATGGATGAAGCGTGTCATGTGTCAAGATTATAAGTGTATCAGGACTGACACAGCAACTAAGCTATTGTCGCATCTTGGGTGATACTAGATGCGATCTTGACATGTGACATATTAAGAATCGATGTCGCGCACAGCTTCTTCTTTTCCCTCTCAATCAGTATTCCTCTATTAATGTCGGCTTCCAAGAAATGTTTAAGCAATTTTGAAAAAAATTTCCTAAAAAATTTGTTTTTCATCTGTATTATTGTCTGAAAAATTGGAAGGTAAAAATTAATTTGTAAAATTAGTGATATTTTGTTGAGTTGCATTTGACAAAAAATAACTGCTTTAAATCTCAATTTTAGGATCTTTGGTGGTGAACTGGAATAATTATTTTTACTGCATCCAAGGTTAGTGATAAATATAAACGCAATTTTATGTTTTTTATTTAATTTTTTACTGGTTTTTAGTATTTATTTTGTATTTATTAGGAAACTTTTGAATATTTATATATATAAATACTGTACACGTGCTTGGGACCTTAAAATAAAGAAAATTAGTTTCTAAACTATAATTTATAGATATATTTTATTTTGATGAATGTAATTGATATATTTGTTAATTTGTTATGGAAAAATTATATATAAAAGTTGATTGATATTAAAAAATTAATGAATGTATAAATAATGAAATTATATATTAGTTGATATATGTAATATTATGTTTAGGAACTCAAAAAAATATAAATGTTATGATAGTAAAAATATAATAAAATATATAAATTTAGTTAAATCATAAAATATTAAATTCAAAATACATAATTAGTCATATTTATAAGATAATAAGATAATTATATTTAGAAATAAATTTGTTATTAAATAAAAAGTATGAAAAATTATATTATTAGTATTGATTAATAGAAACAGTTAACTAAAAGAATAAAATATATAAATATAATAATTTGAAATGTACATAAATTAAATATATTAGGTTGTAATAAAGTTAAATAAAAAACATGTTTTTGATTTAATATAAATAAAGTAGCAGAAGTGAAATAAATTTATAAAATTTAAATTTTTAAAATTAAATAAAGTAAGAATGTAGTTATTGCATAATTTTTTAAATTGTTATAGAGTAAAATAGAATATAGATTGATATTTTAATAAAACTAAAATTAATAACACTATCATTACAATTTATATAATAAGTATAACATGAAAAGTTGTTGTTAATACTTTGATGCATAATTATTATTTTAAAAGTGTTCATTAAAATTTAATATATAAATATATGATAGAACTTTGTATTGATATTTTATGTGAAACGTAAAAATCAATAAAAATTCAAACTTAGAATTGTTATATTGTTATCAATTTTTATAATAAATTTAGGTTATATAATTGGCATTATATATTTTTAAAATTTATATTTTGTTAAATTGAATTTAAAATTTGTATTATTAGTAATTTAACAACTTGTATAAATTAATAATTTTTTTAATGTGTTTATAATGACATAATAATACAAATAAATATTTTTTATTTTTTAGATGGCTTTATCTTCATCTAAAGGTGTAATAATTAATTATAGATCCATTTTTGTTGTATTTTCAAAATATACATGTCTCTGAACACATTTGAAATGAGCGAGAGCATTAAATGTTGAAAGTCAGGGACTTTCAGTTCATACCAGCTAGCATAGACGGTGTTCCAACAGAAATTGTACCTCATTTGGAGATGACTGGCTTTGTTGGAGTTGCTTAACTTGCTAACTTTTCATTGGATACATCTTGTGACTGAATACAATAACTCTCAGCAGACACAATATAATAATAGTAATATATATATTTTTAATTTTTTAGATGGCTTTATCTTCATCTAAAGATGTGATAATTAATTCTAGATCCATCTTTGTTTTATTTTCAAAATATACATGTCTCTGAACACATTTGGAATGAGCAAGAGCATTAAATGTTGAAAGTCAGCAACTTTGAGTTCATATCAGCTAGCATAGACGGTGTTCCAGCAGAGATTGTACCTGATTTGGAGATGACTGGCTTTGTTGGACTTGCTCAGCTTGCTAACTTTTCATTGGATACACCTTGCGACTAAATACAATAACTCTAAGCAGACACAATATCTGCATATACTTCAATTGCACTTCGTTGATTTTGTTGTAGAAAAGCACTTAACATGCAATCAATATATTTGTTATTACATATATTTATAATTGTATATTGTCTAACAATCGAGTCTACTAAAAATCATGAAACCAATTAAGATATAATCTGACTAATAGACAATTTCAGTTTTGCATGACTTTTTCTTTTCAATATCTCTAAACTTATTCCTTCTTCAATCTTAATTATTTTATTATTTTCTTCAAATATAACACCTTCATTACTTGAAAATATTCGACCATTTCAATACACAATGATCACAAAATCAGTTATCTTACGTCACCAAATTATACTACTCAATTAGAACATATATATATTTATTTAATTATTAATAACAAATGACCTCATTCATATTTCAATTACAACTACAAAATTTTACACATTTTTTTACATTTTAATAATTGATTATGCTTCATTCAATTATATTAATCATTTTTTTAATTTTTTAAAAATTTTTAAAACTTCCATATTTATTTGTTACATAATATATAATAACTTATTACCTACTTGTGCATCCTAATATACATAATTTCTACAAATATTCTTCTCAAATGCTATTAAATAAGAAATTAATATTTCTACATTTAATTAATAACAACATTTACAATACAGTGGGCTCCCTATTACAAAATTTACACTTTACATGTTTACCACAATTTTTCCCCTAATTTTGTTCCATAAATCAATTATAATTGAATATAAAAATACATACCTACCAACAAATTTACATAAATATTATATTAAATATATTTAAAACTTACAATTATTTTACCAATTATAAATAATAAATTATTACAAATTAATGTAAATTTTATACTAAATTTTTACACTATTAATACCAAAATATTATAAAATTAATAAAAAAATTTACTAACCTCAAATATATATTCTCCCACTTCTCCAATATGGATTGTAATTTCGGAACCTTCACTCTCTCTCTCTCTCTCTATATATATATATATAGCAAGTGAAAATGAATAATAATCACTACACATTAAGAAATCAATGGATAAAAAAATTAATCATGCCACATGTCAGGACAACAACAGTATAATCCCAATCAAAGCGATAAAGTTGACTCATATTAACCACAAACAATGTTATCGACTTATCGTTCACTTATGTTCAATACTACTACCTTCTCGACACGTGTCACTAGGTGGACGAGTATTGATCAAATGTAGTCAATAAAGTGTAAAATAATAATTATCATCCCCTTTTTTTCAATATTATTTTTTTTTCAGTCGATTTTTTATGTCCACGTGTCACTTGTTGGAGTAGTACCAAATCAAGGTGGCCGATAGAGTATTAAAAAATAATAAAATTAAGACTATCGTTGGTGCATGATCGATATTGGTTATGATATGGCAAAAAATTACACTAAACCGGGAATTAGTTTTAAAAAAATATTAGTTTGAAAATTAGTTTTTAAATATGCTAATTAAATAAAAAAACTTAATATCTAATTGATGACAAAGCTCGAACTAGAAGATTTTTAAACAGTTGTATTATTTTTTAACATATATTTTTAAAAATATATAAAAAATGTATTATTACACTTTTATTTATTTTTTTATTGTAGAATATTTGTAATTTTAAGTAAATACGCTCCCTCTTGTCTTTTTTTTTCTTTTTATATAAATTATCATTTATTTTATCCAAATACTAAGGGCTTATGATAAATTGGAAATATGATGTTATTTTAAAAGATCATGACCCTGAACTTTATTGAAAACTTGATATATTTTGAAAAATAAAAAATATATAAATTAATTTTTGAAGAGAAAAGTTTCGATATTTTTTTATTTTTAGTGTGATTTGATCTTTTGATTAATGATTTTATAATAAAAAATTTAATCAATTTAATTTATAAAAAATTTGAGTGAAATAAAAAATATAAATTCTAAGTAAGAAATTGGACTGAAATATTTTTTTTATCTTAAAAAACATTTATTTTAGTTATTTTTTAAATAGTAGTTTTTTAAAATTTTAAGGTAGAATTATTTTTAAAATTTACCCTTAAAATAAATATTAATTTAGAGTTTATTATTTATTTATTTATTACATAAATAAAAATTAAAATTAGTATAATAAGATATTTTATAATATTTTTATTAAAATAAAATAATTAAATGTACTTTTAAATTTTTGTGTTACAATATCAACTATTTTTAAGAGATGAAAGAAGTATTTTTTTTATTTAATATTATATTTAAATGTGTTAATAATAAAGTGAAGACAATAAAAAAAGAAAAAATTTAATATATATATATATATATTAATTGATTCTATATATTAAAAAAAATATTTTGACAAAGGTGGGAGAGAGGACCCGAGGAAGGATTTGAAGACGGGGAAAGTTTTGGGTTTTTAGTTTTTATTTATTAAATCATAAAAAAATTACATAACATATAATATATTTTTTTATTAAGGAAACGTACGATAATGAAATTTAAAATTGTACAATTATTCATAACTATTTAATATAATTTAATTATTTTTAATTTTTACAATAAATTAACTAAATAAATAAAATTTAGTTCAACTCATTTGAATAACATATATATTTTTATTTTATTTTATATCCGTAAAAAGGTAGGATTAATTTTTATATATAATATTTAAAAATAATATATACTTAAAATATAATTTTTTTAAAAAAATTGTAAAAATATGAGGTTAAAAAAAAAGAACAAAAGTTATTAAAAAAATTTATTAATAATTTTTTATAATATTAAAAAGTTATAAAATTTAAAAGCTACCGATAACAATATTTAAAATAATAATAAAATATTTAAAAATGACTAAATATCGTCCTGATGATTTTTGACTAAAAATCACTTCTGGAGATTTTTGAAAAAATTTATATTTTAATAATTTTTCCAAAAAAAATACATATTTATGTAATTTTAAAAAATCATGGAAAAAAACAAGAGCAAAGCAAAGAGAGAAGCATAATTTAAGAATAGCTTAATTTATGTTTTAATTTTTTTTATATTTTTAAAAATAAAATATAATACAAAACAGCATCATGAGTAAAAATAATTTCTTCTTATATTCATTTTTTTTTCAGTCATGAGTAAAAAGCACGATCAAGAAAAGAAAACAAAGCAAATGCGTCAGCAACGTTGAACGGGTTAAAAATCCGCGAGTTGTAGAAACAAAAGAGGTTCATTGAACCTGGACACACCCGATTACGCTCTATTTATACCCATGCCGCCACACCACACCACACAACCCAATCTTTTGAAAAAACTAGCTTCCATTTTACATTTGTTACTTCCAAATATATAATTTCTTATATTTAGAAATTTTTTCATTTTAATTTAATTTGAGAACCGTTTCATGGCGCCGACGATGATGGCCGTGATCGGCATCGGCGGGAAGCAAGGGAACAAAAAGCCGGTGCCTGAGAGCGAGCTGAAGAAGAGGAACGAGGAGCTCGAGAAGGAGCTTAGAGAGAGCAGGGAGAGAGAGGAGCAGATGAAGCGGGAACTGCAAAACGCGTGGCAAAGGCTGCGCGTGGCGGAGGAAGCCGAGGAGAGGCTCTGCTCGCAGCTCGGAGAGCTAGAAGCGGAATCCGTTCACCAGGCGCGTGACTACCACGCCCGAATCGTTTCCCTTATGGACCAGCTCTCTCGCGCGCAGAACCTCCTCCTCAAAGCTGGCACTCCCTCCATTTCACTTCGTTCCTCCTCTTCATGATATATATGGTTTTTCCGAAGAAAATCATTGTAATAAATTTTGGCATTTACATCTCAGAATCGTTGTTTATTGTTTAGATGTATCATATGATGATGATGGTGATCCATATTGGCGTGGATCGAATCTCTGTTACTCTGTAAAAATTTTGGTGAATGGTTGAGAATAGTTTGATTGCTTTTAGAGTTTCGAGACGTTAATGCTGGTAGTGATTCCGTTCTGCAAGTGTGTAGTTGTAATCACTAAAAAATTTGTAAACGCAGATCCAGAGTAGGAGCTTCGATTTATAAATATTCAAATGTGAATCTATACACGTCATAGAATTTTCTTGTGCCTGCATAACTGAACTGCTTCGTTTTCAAATGTGAAGGTCAACATATTTATTTGATTAGCCAATTAGAATGTAACGTGATTCGTAGTCTGTTATTTTTTCTTGTCCGTGAAATGGGAAAACGAGAGCTTTGACATTAACGAGTTTTGAAAATGTTCAGATCTCAATTTCAAAAGTAAGGACTGAGGAGGAACGCTACAGGGATGTTTCAACACGAAACTCTCTGAAAATTAAGAAATGTTCAACGTGTCAATATGCTTTTTCGATTAAAAACAAACAGCCAGTTGAAATCAAAACCTAATTCAAACCGGTGAACTTGGTTCGTTTTTTTTTTTTTAAATTTTTTTAACTAGCTAATAATGTTTTTTAAAATAATAATAAAGTGTTTTTAAAATACTAAAAACACGTCATTAGTGATTTTTTATGGCTATTAACACAGTTTTTCTCAAAATATTATATTTGGATAATTTTTCTTTTTTTTCCTATAAAAAAAAGGCGAAAGATGCTTCGTCACGAAATGATACGGAACAAAAATATGGTAATCTATACCAAATAAATATTGGATGATCTCATTTTCCAACGTGTCTTTTAGTCTGAAGATTCGCGAATTAACAAGAGAATAGGGGCAAAGCCCAACTATGTCGGAATTTTAACGAATCAGGAGATGAAACGTGGCAAAGATTCCTACTCGTGTGGGTGTGTGTATGATGATTGATGATGGGTGGTGTTCCCTACCCGAAGGAGGACCACACAAAGGCGACGAAAATTCAAAATAAGAATTGAAATTTGAGAGTGGAGAATTGGTCCACCATCGTATTCGTAGCCACTGTCACCGGTGAGAAATGCGTGAAAGTGTGAAAGTGTAATGGCAATCAATCAATTCTCCGCCCCTATCTTATTTATCTTTTTATCTCTTTTTTCTTTTTGGTTTAGACTTTTTAGCATTTTTTTCAAATAAACAAATAATTTTTTATTTGAATTGTATTATAATATTATTTTATTAAAATTTCAAGGTGAAACTATTTTTATTTGCTCCCTCGGAATGCAATGCAACTTACGTAAATAGGTATTAATTTCATTATATGAAATAAACTGTTTCACTTAACCTAAATCCCTCAACACGCAACAAGCTACCTTGTTAGATTGTCAAAACTACAAAACCACTTTGAAAATTCTAACATGGTGTATGCTTCTTCGATGGGCACGCGTCGAATCTGTCTCGCCGTTGAAATATCTTTCTATAGATCGCGAGAGGTAAAGATGTAAGAGATAATTGGATAAAACTCGTTTCTACCTTTTTCAAATCTCAAATCAGCCAATAAGATCTCAGCCGAATAAATGAGAGCTTCCATTCTCGTTTACTGGTAGAGATATCTGTATGTAACTTTCATATATTAAAATAGAGTAAACTCAAAAAGACGTTAATTATTTGATAAAATTATTATTTTTAATTAGTGACGTGTATTTTTCAAAATTAAAGCTTTTTGAATTATATTTTTATATAATAATTGTTTCATTATTTTTATAAATTTATAATTTTATATTTATTTTTACTTGATGTTTTAGTATTTAATTTTCTCGTAATTTTTATATTTAGGATAAGTACTATAATTAATAATTTTATAATTATTTATAAAAACACAAAATTTCATTTTTAATCGTGTGTATATATATACACATTACCCGAACTATTTACTAATTATTTTGAAAGGAAAAATAAATAATTTTTTAAACAAATGTGATAACTAACCTTTTTAAGTGAGTTAGAGCTAACCTATGGACTAACTAATTTTAAAAAAATTATTAATTATAAAATTTCTTTAAATATTATTTTATAATTTTATTTGAGTATTAATCATAAAATTTGTCATATTTTAATTTTTTTTATACTATTATATTTTATTAATTTAATTTTATAAAATTATCTTAAAAACATCACATGTTTAATAAATATGTTTAAAGTCATAATAGAGATACAAAATCAATCAAACAAATAATATTAGTTAAATTCATTAAGTCATTTATTATCAAACTATTAAAATATTCAAAATAATTTATTTAAATAAAATTTAATGTGTTAGAAAATATAAATATAATATTATTGTCGTGAAAATTATAGATACATAATACTTAATATTACCAAATTTATGAATACAAAAAAGTAATTTATGAACTTAACAAAAATTAATGAATATTTAAAATTTTAAAATTTGACTTATCTTAATTTAATATAATTTATTTTTAAAGTAAAATAATTTGATTAGACAGAATTGATAAAAAAAGATTTTTAAAATACATTTTTATATTTAAAATATAATTTAAATAAAATAATTTAATAAAAATAATAAACAAACACATATATCTTTTATTAAAAAATATTTATTAATTATTCTACAAAAGATGTATTTATTTATTTATTTTTATAAAATTATTTTAATAAAATTGCGTGTTAAATGAATATTTTTAAAGTCACAATAAAAATATAAAACTAACAATTAAAAAAAAACGGTAGCTTTGTGAAGTCATATATTATGAAAATACTTGAAATAATTTAAATTAATAAATATTTATAATTTTAAATTTTAGTTGATCTTAGATTGATAATTTTTTATTTTTAAAATATATTTTTATTAATTTTAAATAAAATATTAATAAAAATAATAAATAATATACGTGTCTTTTATTTAAAAAAATAATATAATATTTATTAATTACTTTTTAAAAAATATAGACTAATTCATTTTTGACTCTAATCCTAACTCACATTTTGTTTATATATTAAGACTTAGGGTGAGAGTAAACTCACTATATATATATAGAGCTTAAAAAAAAGGTTTGGAGTCAAATTGACATCTTTAGGTCTCAATGAGAAAGTTTTATAACATGTCAACTTATAAATAGACAACGAAACAGTAAATCCATTCAAATATTTAATAATTACTTATCACTTTACATTGTATGTTACAATCTTTATCCCAATTATCACTGGTAGACGTAAACTTTTTTAATATTACAGCTAGAAAAAACTTGTTTAAACTTATACAAGATATTATATCTCTTTACCAACTTATTTTTTAATTGACAAATGCTAGTAGCCAAAGTTTTTTTAAGTTATTATTAATATTTTTTATCGTAATTTTAATAAATTGAAAAATGATCAAACTACACGAAGACAAAGTTATATTCACTTTTACATTATTAATAATTTAATATAACATTATATTCTCAATATTTTTATTTTATTTTTAACCACAATTTTCAATATTACACATAAATATGAAAAAGCATAAGTTTAAATTGTTTTAACTTAAGAAAAATAAATAGGAATATGTTTGAAAGATAAAAATAAAATATTATTACACCTCACCTATACATTTTTTAAGGTCCTTGTCCTTTGGAGCAGGGACTATGGGTACCTTGTCCATTTGCACAAGCGAAGGGTCACGCTTGCACATGACTCATGAGAGTGAGGCCATGGAGTGTCAAATCTTAATGCTACAAAGGCCCACATGAAAATGGCGTCCAAGCATTTGGCAAAAACACTGATTAACATTAGCATATCACAATAATGCTATTTCTCTGATTAAAGTTGCAACTTGCAATTTGCAAAGTCCCGTCTCAGTTTTAGTGAGTGTGAGTGAGAGGGAGCAGGTACAGCTTTCGTTTTTATATACACAGTTTTTTTTCTTTTTCAAAACAACATATAACTACACATGTTAAAGAATTTTAAAGCAGCAATTTTTTTTAATTAACGATTATAAATTTTAATACTATCAATTATTCAATCTTATGATATTTTATAATTTATAAAAAGTTTGTGTAATTTTTTATTGTGTATTATTTTGTACACATTAAAAAAATCGTTATATAAATGTCAAAGAGGGGAATCATATCTAACCCATGCCAAATGTCCAAACTAGACCGCTTTTAACCTTTTTGAGACCCTAGGCAAAATAGGGAATTAGGACCCTTTAAAAAATTTATAAAATGTAATAAATAAAATAAAAGTATATATTAATAATTTTATTAAAATAATACGTTTTTTTTAAGGAGTTATAATTTTTTCTAATAAAATTATAAAAAAAATATTTTTCATTCAAAGAACTTCTATGTTATAATTAACTACAAAAATACAAAAAAATCATAAAAAATAGGTTCTACAAGTATTTCGAGATACAAAATTATTAATAATAACATTAACATTAATATTTTTTAAAAATTCTTTATCAATTGATAAAATTGTGAGACTATTTAATAGTTCTTGTGACATTGATAACTTTAGGTATGTTTTTATTAACTTTAACTCTAAAAAACTTCTTTCAGTTGATGATATAATCACCGGGACCGTAAAATAAATTCTATAAGTGATTAAAACATTTAGATAATAATCTGCAAATTTGACAAACTCAATAATTGTTTAATTTTTTTGAAAAAAACTAAAATTTTTCATGAGCTTTAATGTTAAGAATAGTAAAATTTTGGAATTAAATAAAGTTTTGAGTTTACAGAAGTCAATGAGTCGAACGTTTATAGCAAGTGAGATGCGAAGAATTAAAAGATCTTTTTATTTTTTCTATTTTTTTCAACTGCAAACTATAAGAGCTAAAAAAATTTTTCAAGTAAAAATAGAACACAATTTTTACTTTAAGCCCTCTTTTAAGCTTGGGTCCTAAGCGATCGCACCTCTAAACTACTTTTAAAACTAAGCCTGTGCCCAAAGTTAACATCACATGCTGCAAAGGAGAGTTACTTACGTGCTATTAGCATGCTAAATTTGCTTAATTTCTAAGGTAAAAAAAAGATGCATTTTAAGGTTCTTTCAGAAAAGTTTAAGTATAAGTAAGTTTAAATAGAAGCTAGTTAATGTAAATACGCATTTATTTTTCACTTCATATTTCCATCATTGCAAAATTTAGAGGATTTCGCTGTCTATTTGGCTATAGTTTGTTTGGGATTACTCTAATTGTTTTGTTTTGGTATTTGACGTGTTTGTCTTCATGCGATCTCCAGCTTAAAATGAGTCAAAAGTCATGAATTTGTAGCTTTACAAGCTAGCTGAGCTGAGTTAAAAATTATAAAGTTTGTATTTATAAAAGTAGTTTATAAAATTAACTTTTTTTGATAAATTAGTTGTGTAACTAACTGATTTGTAAAGGATATGTAATATTATATTAATGTAATATTAAAATTATTTATTTATTTATTTATTTATTTTATTTATTTGCAATTAATTAATTAAATACTCATATAGAAAAATAAAATTTATCTTAGTATATGTTTGAATATAAAATATTCTAAGTCATATATATTTTTAATATAAAATATATTTAGATAAAAGAGATAATGGAGTATATGAAAAAGAAATAAAAAAAATGAGACTATTGTGAAGATAAAAAAAAAAAACAACAAAAGATAATAAAAATAATGTATACATGAGGTTTTAATTATGAATGGTTAGTTGAAAAAATAAAAATGTAATAAAAATATTGGTAATAAATTTTTAAAAGTTAAACGCTGTTTTAACTAGCATTTAAGAAGTTAGCTTTCAGAAATAAAAAGTTCTTTTTATTTTGTATGTATCAAATAACTCTACAAATTCTTAAATAAGTTACAAGTTACGTTTATTAAACATAACTTTAATTTTAAACTTTTAATTAATCAATTAAACGGTCAAAATATAAAAGAAATTTTTAATGTTAAAGAAGTTTTTAAGCAATTATAATAATGTGAATTTTTATGAAATATAAAAAATGTGCTAACAGTAGAAAAATGTGTCTTAAAGAATGAGTTAAACATAAGATGTATTGGCGAGAATAAATAGAAAATAGCTTTTAGACATTAAAGTTTTGTATAAAAAAATTTGGAAGGGTTGATACGTAAAACAAAATGTTATATTTGATAAATTAGAGGTTAAGGCCTAAACTTATCTCTTTAAGCTGTGAGAAAAATGTTAAGTCCTTACGTGTTATTTAAATTTGTAGGCTTTTCTATTGAAACACATACCCTCTCCATTTGTTAAATCCACCAGAAATTTTTTTTACCAAGAAAAAGAATAATTTTTAAAACAATTTGAAGTTAAAAAGTAGTAAAATTTTACTAAAAATTATAACATTTAATGTTACTGTTGCATTGAGTTCAATATTACCTTGTTATTGTAATAAGAAGTTATTATATATAAATTTTTATTATATATATATATATATTCTTAAACAAAAATTATTTTAAAAAAACATGAATATATTAGGAGATTGGAAAATCCGGAGCAAAGGTTAGAAAGAGAAACTAGAGAGACACAGTGGGGTATACAATCCCCAAACAAGGGATAATGTTCGTAGATACAGCATCCTTGCATCCCACAACTTGTGACTACAGTTTGCACAAAGGTGGTCCTACCTTAAGATATGTCATATGCTTATTCAAGACTGACCATTGCTCATGCCAGAGATTTTTATGGTCATCTAAGCCTACCATTGACATGTTGTTGGTAAAATTAGCCTTATAATCAATTTCAAGAATGACTTGTCCGAAGCTCAAATTTCATTTTCGAGCTATCTAGAGACTCTAACAAGCTTCTCAACATTTTGCTTGAAACACATTACGGCATACCAGTTTATGGGTATGTCTTTTCACCCTTGACTCTGATGATCTTTTATCAAACCATTTAAGTTTGTGTTTAATTTAGCTGATTTAAAGAAATAATTGTTTTTTTTTTCCAATTTCTTGAAATAATTTGTGAAGAGTAAATAATTATTTTCTCCCAATTGAAGCATTTCCAAACTTATATTAAATTTTAATATATCAACATTCTGATTAAAGCTGACGCATAATAATTTAAATACTATAAGATAACAACTATTGTCCTGCATAGTCATATCCTAGCTAATATATTTTTGGATTGTGGTTAATTATGTTGGTGTATGATTACGATATTGTGATTCTCTCACAAGAGCTGGAAAATAACCTGAACTTAAAATGCAAATATTGCCAATATCGTGGTTATTATGTTCTCACTCAACCACAAGATGTTTGCAATTTATGTATAATGCAAACACGCAACTATTAGAGTAATGATAAATATACAATAAACTTTTACAATATTTTTATTTCTCTTGCACATTATTTATCTTATTTATTATGCTTTGATTTTTTGTATCTCTCTCAAATTATACAATTTTTTTTCATAAAAAATTATTAGAGTATCATTGCTCATTGTCATAGTTCACTTAGTATGCTAAGACGTAAGAAGTATCTTTCATTTATCTAAGTGATTTTATAAGCCTATTTTGACGTCAACACTGTATGGTGTGAGAATACATGATTAAATACGTCATGTCTCTCGCTGGGGTAGAATAAAAAAACAAGATAAAATTCTGTACCACACTTCAAAAATATACTAGCAAGGATCTAAGAACATCTGAAGAAAAAATCTGAAAATAATGTTATATCAAATCGTGGCATACTAAGTAAATTGTTCAAGATGAAATGCTTTGGTATCATATTCAATTTGGTACCGTCAAATGTTGTGATATAAATGGTTATTTCAGTTTGAAATGGTTAACTGTATCATTTGTTATAATTAGTTAAATCAGTTTGATAAATAATTAGTAAATTTATGGTCAGTGAAATATCAAACTTTTAAAACAGTTTAAGTAATTGATAAAGCATGTTTGAGAATTCAAAACTTTGAATTTTTACTGACCATTATGCTATAAAATTTTGCTTACGACACAGAGAATAGAAGACCAATAATCCTTATTATCTCATTTTTCTAAATTCTATTACACGCAAAACAAAAAAAACACAACACAAAAGCTATTATTGTATATATATATTTAACATTTTTCTATTCAGCAATTATGCGTATTCAATAGTAAACGACAAATAACAGAGTTTTTAATCTTGTGCATTACCAATCAAATAGCCAATATAACAAAAAAAAATGCTTTGATGATGACCGAAACATTTGGGCTGTTCCTTACGACCATTTTTTGTCATATTTTCCGCCCGTCAAATATAAATATAAGATTAAATCTTCTCGACACTCAAACCATTGATCTTTCCGGAAAAATCACAATTAACGAATCAATCGACCCAACCCAGTAAACAAGGAACTGACATGCAAAATGCAAGATTCACCTCCACAAATGATTCAAGTACTATCGTTCAAAACAAGACATTCCAGCTAATATCGGTGGAAGTCTTCTTCTTTCGTTCAGATTATCATGACCAATGTGGAACCATTGATTGGGTAGATCATTGATAGAATTAATGCAATAAGTCGATGACAATTCCTCTGCAAGGAAGCAATTTTTCTTATTTTGAAGTTAACAAATTCATGCTCCAGAATCTACTTTCAAGCCATTTACGTTTCATGGCAACTGAAATAACTGATTAATTAACCCAAGTTTACCAAGTAGACTGCAATAATGGAACAAAATGCATAAGAAACAAAAATGCAAAATTCATTTGCAACACAAATTTCCTAGTATCCATTTTCAATGGCTTTCAACAACTAAAAGTTCGAAGGCAGCAAACTCTATTCATATCAGTCAATTCCGGCTTCCTCGCTTCTCTCTCAAATCCGGGTCCCTGAAACCAGATTTCAGTATTTAAGAGTATGAAAAATTAGGTACATGGTACTATGACAACACATAAAGCAGAACTCCTACCTTTGGATGTGATCAAGAATCAAAAGCCTGGGTCCAGGAGGAATCCTCACATCTCTGAGAGCACTGAAACACATTATAGAGAAAAAAATGACTTACACTCCTACACATGTTAAACAAAATACATGATGATAAGAAAAACCTGACACAAAAAATTTAACATCCTACCTGTCTGTAAGCAAAGGCAAAGTGTTGTCCGTTAACAAGCCCTTCTTAAAATTCTTTTCATAATTCTGAAGACCAAGGTTGTGCAACATGTGTCTTGTTTTAGAATAGTGAATATCTTCAGCAGGTGGTTGAGAAAACTTTTGTCCTATCTGCATAAGTTGAATATATGTTATTTAGTTTATGGGACACCAAATTATAAACCTACATTACGCACAAAACATCCAGGGATCTAGGCAAGACAGAACAGTACCATTGGACACAAGGACCAATAAATCATGTCCAAAATATTAAAACCCTGGCTAATATTAGAAGCCCAACAAGGACTACACCAAGAAATTTGTTTATAAATTATATCAATAAACAGTTAGACACACTCACTGTGTTGCCAACATCCAGGGATCTAGGCAAGGACACTTCACTTGGACACAAGACCAATAAGTCATGTCCAAAATATTAAACCCTGGCTAATATTAGAAGCCAAACAGGGATTACACCAATAAATTTGTTTATAAATGATATCAATAAACAGTAAGACACACTTGCTGTGTTGCAAACATGGAAAGTCCAGCAATCATTGTTCCTTCATGCCTACCTGGAAAAGTCCACCTTGAACAAGTGCAAAGAAAAGTCCAGAAGTGACTGCATTTGCTGCTTGATTTGGTCCACCCATGCCGCTTACCAATGAAAACATGGCCCCAGAACCAAAAGCTGCCGCCATGCTGCAATAGATAATTCAATGAATTCTCAAAATCATTACTACTATACTGCCATAGGGAGTACATTGGTGGAAATAAGAAAATAGCAAAACAAAATACAGAGCAGAATATTACATAATAGGAATTAAGAAATGAACAACAGCTTCCATTGGGTATAAAATATTCAGTAAAATATGATCCCTATGCAATATAGGAGCAATTCATCTACTTTAATGGTCAATGAATGTTGGGCTGTTGGCCATATTTTCAGCACCCTGGTGTCAGTAAAACCTTCAAAGATGTATGGTTACCCTTTGATGTCTTTCAATTCAAATTGAAATTTCATAGAGATCACAAGTGAGAGCCACATCTTAAAATTAGAAATATTTTGTTACCACAAGTGTGTTGAAGTCGTGCTCTTTTTTACTTCTAATTTAATGTTTCTCTTTCATATTTTGAAGTTTTCAATAAATTTTAACAACTAGCAGTCTTTAAAAAAATGTGTTAGAGATTATGTTGCTAGCATTTCTCATCTCATAATATCTTCATGTATCTCATGATATTTTAGTTTATCGTAGATGAACTGTTAGCAGGGGCTTTTAGATTTCATTATATTTCCAATTTTTCCCCTACATAGTTTAGGGATAGTAGTCTTGTTCCATTATTGGTTATGGGCTTGTACTTGTAAAGTAGTACTAACCTAAGTATTTTAGTATAAATAGAACCATGGAGTCATTACTTTGTAATACATTATTACACATCATATCAATCATATTCAGTGTGTCTGTCTTCTCTTTTCCTCCTACCCTATTTAAATCCGTATAATTTCAACAGTAACAATCATGTATAAGGAATAAGATGTTTTGTATTGCAAATAACCACGAAGCCTTAGTTGTTGTTATTTTTATTTCTGAGAATTAATAGAGCTTGTGTGCTGTACTGATTTATCTTGGATGGTTATACAAACATTTTGAGAAACTACAGAATGCAGAAAAATGCACACACACACAAAAAAAAAAAATAAATAAATAAAGAGACCAATAAGAGATTATGATCATACTATTCATTTAACAATAAGTAAATTTTCACATGACCAATAGATATAAACAAGTTCTTATAAGTGTCCTTTGTTAGCTTATTATCAGCCAAACTTTCAAATTCACCATGTCTAGTTCTAGTTCCAAAGCAGGGACAAGCAAACCAAATCCAAAACTTAAAGAATTTGGAAAGTATCCAATTTGAAAGTTAAACATGTCAAACTAAGAAAATTTTCAGCTTTATATGGATGTGTTTGTATCTTATAATGGCAACACTAAACATAGTTGGTGATGGATAATTTGGGGAAAGAAAGTGGGAGCCGGGAGACCTTACATGAGTGAATTTTTTATTTTAAAATGTTTTACAATAAAATCTTTATTTATCTTACAGTAAGTCGTAGAACTATAGATCCTGCAGATAACATATAATGTAGCAGGAACGATGACAGTAAAAAAGGAAAACTACATATATCATATTCAATACTCTTATTTCATCACAGAAAACCTTTTCTTATACTGTTTCATTTTTACTTCGCTTAAATCTTCACAAGTATCTCCTTCTGAAAACATATTTATACAAAGAAATAAAGTTTCCCCTTTATTTCTAGTGATTCCACTAAAGTCATCAAGAATCCAACAGAGTATACAATTCAAAATATTTTAGGAAAAGAACAAGAAGAGCCATATTCAACTTTTTTTTGAGTTATGTAATTTACACTAATCTCAAGAAGGGTAGTCAACTAGACTAGTAATACAAGCCTTCATCATAGTGGAAACTGGTAATGTCAATTTCCTTCTATCTTTCAAACAAAAAATTCCTTCTCCTATTAAATTGAGGAACCAGAACGCAGAATTGAAACTTTTCATTTTGGTCCTAATCATAATACATAATTACATATTATACACCATGAACAATAGTGGTGTAATCAAACCAAGATTTTAAGGCAAGGTGGCTCAAAATGATTTCCAGTTATGATCCACTTACAACAGTACGTCACCGATATTTACATGAATAATAAGTCATATAGACCTTTGTATCCTCCTATAATCATTCAGGCTAGGGATCACAGTCACATAATGCATGTATTATATGAACTATTGTAGCAGCTTGAATTCAGACAAAAGAGGTGATTTGCTTTGTAGTCAAACTTGATCCAGGATACAAACACCTCAAAAAACAGGAAAATTGTATCACTTCAGTCACAAAGCACTAGAATAGCAGTTAATTGAGATAGTGAAACAAACAAAAAAGGTAGGTGATGAATTAAAAGCTAACCAACCTAGACTGAACATCTTCCTTGCCCCTTAACCTTTTCAATACACAGGAAATACCAGCATTCACTCCCGTCATCACAGCAAAGTTACGAGCTTGAATTAAAGGACCTCCAGAAAGAGCCTATAATAATAATAATAAAAATAAAAAAGACAAGCCAGTTACATAAATATAAAACCAAAAATAAACTATTGTAGATTTGCATAAGCGAGAAACCCTAAACCCTAAGATTTTATAGTTACATAAATTAAAATTACACTAATTGAAATAAATAAATAAAAGGACAGAGACACATAAGAGAAGAATGGTAAAGGACCTGAGCTTGCTTAAGAGAGGCCATGGCTTGAGGGTTGAGAGAGGCGTTAGGCGGAGGGGTGGGGAAAGTGGAGGAGGCGTCGGCGGTGAGGGTGCCCATGAAGGCGCCGATGGCAGCGCCTTGGGCGGCGCTGGTGGTGGTGACGACGGCGGCTTCGACGGGAAGAGACTGCTTGGAGAGCCAGAGTCTGAAGCCATTCTCTAACTCCTTGAAACGTGTTTGGAGTTGTTCAATGGGGTTTTGAAGTTGCTGAGGTAACCCTTTCGCCACCATCTTCCCTTGTTCCATTCCAAGTTCTCAATCTCTAGATATTTTGTTTCGATAACGTTGTTGTAGTATTAGTATTATTTTCTCCTTTTATATTTATCATCAATTAAATCGATAAAATGAATAAAATCAAAATAAGCTACGGACACTGTGTCACTCTATCAAACAAGCCGGCCTATTCCACACAACTCCAAACGGTGCCCAATTTGTGCCCCATTAATCAAATTTAAAAGTAATTAACACTTTTTCAAACTATGTTCCAAATAATCATTATTTTTAAAAATAAAAATTTGTATAAAACACAAATGATTGTGTTTTTTAACACCTTTGGTAGATTTATATAGTTTTATATAAAAAGGAATATTGCATGTGATTGAAAATTAAGGTCCCACTTACAAATTTTATTCATTAAATACTTCTAAAATAGAGAGAAAATAAATAAAAATAAGAAGATAAAAAAAAATACGTGTTATTTAAATAGAAAAAGATAAAAAGTTAAACTAAAAATAATTATAAAAAATTAAATATTGTTTTATCGATTTTTTCTTAATAAGCAATTTTTTATTTTAAAATTATATCAATATTATTTGATAATTTAATAAAATTGAAGAAATCCCAATACTCACGGATCTCTCCTCATTCCGAGGGGATTTTATTTTAAAGTGGACCCTTAAAAAAAAAAAAAAAACCTTCTCCCTCTTCATTCCTTCCATTCAGATAATCAATTTTTCTTCATTTTCCCCTTTCTTCCCTAACTAAAATAATAAAGACAAAACTATCTAAAAATATTTTTAAATTATTTTCAATATATGTATTTTAAATAATCAATTAAATTATTTAAAAATTCTGATTGTTCAAAAAACTTTTTTTTTTGTCTAGACTCTAAATTAAACTAAAACAACTATCTATAAAGGTAATTTACAGGCTCAATGATATTAAAAAATTTACTTTATCCTAATTGTAATAAATTTTATCTTAAATCAAATAATATAATATTTTTGTCAAAATATTCATATATGAAGTTGAGATAGATTTATTGTTATCTATTTAACTATTTTTTTTAAGTTAATTATCTATCTAAATTTGGTGGCTATTTTTTCTTTTTGCTTGTACAGAAATTAAATTATTAATATTTATTTATAGAAATTAAATTAAAATTATGGGACATTGAAACTAAATTCATATCGTTAAAAATATTAAATTAAAAAATATATAATATAACTATTTTGATTGATATTACTCATAAAAGTTAACTTTAAAACGTGAGAGGTTAATGGGATAAGTTAGGCATAAATAATCTTAAAAAAAGTAACTTTTAAGACAATTGTTTTTGGTATGAAGGTTTTAAAAGAATGCCAATTAAAGAATTCTTTAAATTCATTTAAATAAATTCATCAAATACAATAGTAATTATTTCACGTGTGTGTAATTTATTAAATATAAAAATATCATAATTATTTAAATAATCTTGTAATTTTTCTCCACAATCTCTTTTGAAAGATTCCCAAATAGATTTGTTGGGACAGATGAGACGACGCGTCGTTGGCAATGTTCTGCAACGCAAGCCCAAAAGGAAGTTCCCGCTCTCTCTCGTTAGCTAGTAAGAACCATTGAGTGAACGAAGCTATTTACTATCTACCATTCCATACCATAGCAAAAGCACAGAAATTACCTAACTCTTTTTCCTTCCACGTTTCGGTTGTAATCTCTTCAAATTCGAGAGGTGTGATTAAGATTGTGCTTTCAACGTGTTCGACCATTTGCTTCACTGAAAATGAATACATGTAATTTTTTTTTGTAGGGGTCAAAGCGGTTTTTATTTAGTATTTATCCCTGCAAATGAGCAGTTCAAGGGACAGTTCCCCGGATTGGTTGCGTTCTTTTCAGGTATCTCTGGATGCCTCTATATCTTTTTGCTGATTCATGTTTTCCCTCATTTTCTATATACTTTTATTTATGATTTCTACAAGTGTAGTTTTTAATTTTTACATAAGCTCCTTGATGCCTCTGTGATCACAACGATTGATGGAGCGGCATTAGTTTCAATATTTTTTTATTAGCTCCTGAAATCTTTGCCTGTTAATTGAAAAAACTTCATATTGTTGAGTAGGTGCCAACTCATTCGCCTTTGACGCTGTCTTCTGATTCTGGGTCTTTACGTGATGGTGGCTCTTGGAATGAGGATAATACTGATGATGAGGGGTCATCTCCAAAGTCATCCAGACTTTCAAAGGATACCAAGAGCAAGGCTACCAAGTCTTCATCTAGAAAGACATTGGAAGCAACGAGTACTAAAATAGAAGATGAAATGCCGTCCAGAAGAAAGAAAGTAGACAAGCAAAAGGCCAAAGAAGGTACATTTGAGATTTGATTTGCGTTTGGAGTTCTCTCATGATGACTGCATGGAATTAATATAGGTTTTATTGACATGAGTAATAGAATGCGAAAATCATTTTACAGTGTGATTTTTCATTGAATTGGCATTTTGTCATTTCTTATCATGATCCAGGAAACAAAGGGGAAAAGAAGATTGAGAATGAATCAAACACTGACAAGCGTATACAGCATAAAGTAAGAGCCTTGTCAATATATTGTGACTCAGTACATCACATACCCAGAGGATTTGAATTCATCAATAGTTCTCGTGTAGTTTTCCTGTTTTGCTCAATGCGATCATTGTCTTCTATCAAAACTAAGTGTTTGGCATGCTACTTATTTTTGCATAGGAGTCTATTCATTCAATTTGGACACTATCGTCAGATTCTGAGTCATGTCATGATCAAAGCCCAAAAGAAGAAGATCATATTGATCATGCAGAAACTTCTCAGCATCAAAGATCTCAATTCCTTGGCAGAGAACACGGGGATGCACTTGTCATAGGCAATGATAGAAAATCTCCATCCAAAAAGGCTTCAAAAAAGAAGTCTTCACAAGAACAAATAGATGTAGAAAGTCACACACCAGCAAAAGAGAAGAAAATAAAGGGCAGTGCAAAGGGAAAAGATAGCGGTGGAGATGTGGAAGTTGAAGAGGAAGGAGCTTGTGAAAAGCTTGCTGAACCAAATGTAAGAATGATCAAGGTTATAATGGTTGGCTAGATATGTTTCACAGCATTCCCAGATGTCAAAGCATTAAGTAGTAACTATCAAATGTCTCATTGATTTTCTGTCTAGTCTTGCATTCTGAATTGTGCTTGCTATTTGAAATTTGCAGGTTTCCTCTTCAAGGTTGCCTTTGATGCTTTCTGAGAAAGTTCATCGTACAAAGGTTAGTGGGAAACTGTATGTTATTGATTTCCATTTGCTATATGTTCTGTTTTATACTTGCAAGGCCATGTTTAATTGCCATTATTGGGATGGCATAATGAGTAACAGAGGTCTCACTAAAAACAATTAAATTTTGTGAAAAGAAAAGCTGTTAGTTTGGTTTCTAGTTTTGTATTGAGTTGACAGTTGTGTGACACATTGTAGCTTTCTTGTAAATATCTTGTGTTTTTTCTTTACTTTTGATCTTAATTTTCTTCTTCTGTAATCCTTATTCATGAGAAAGGCAATGGGTTTGTCAGAGCTTTTCTGTTTCTGCAGGCACTTATTGAGTGTCAAGGTGACTCCATAGATCTGAGTGGTGATGTAGGAGCTGTTGGCCGAATCATAGTTTCAGATTGCCCATCTGGGGACCAGGAGATGTATTTAGACTTGAAAGGTATCTATTAACAAACAAATAATAAGTCTCTTGTTATTTATTCTTTATAGTTTATAAAGACAAGCACGTATGTCTTGATTATAACACTGTAGCATACGTATATGCAAAACCATAATACAACTTAGCTATTTTTGGTGCTATTATGCTCATTACCTGTTGAGTTTCAAAGAAACAGCTGACCTTTGCCTCATGTTATAAAAAAATGGGAATCTGAGACTCATAAGCATAACTGAGCGCACCCACACATATATGATATTTTGACTTTCATAGGTGGTTTGGGCATGAATCGAGAGGACCTATAGAAGTTCCACTTAGGAGAGTAGATCAACTGGAGGGTAACCTAGTCACTCAAGGAAGAGAGAGACAGAAAAAAATATAGGCAGTTTATAATTTTCTTATAAGCATGATTTACAACAGAACATTATGACAGTGTTTGGTTGCTGTTGTTGACTTTCTTCTCCAAGTTATATGCAGTTGTTATTTGTTCTCTACAAGACTTTTTCATTTTGAGTTATTGATGCAGTACTTTTACCTGATAGTGACAACCGGTATCTGATTGTTCTAAATTTGCTCATGTTTTCAGGAACAATATACAAAACATCTATAGTTCCTTGCCGGACATTTTGCGTTGTATGTGATATAATCTGCATTTAACATTATCACCTTGAATGTTTTCATTAAGATAATTTTTTTTGTAGCTAATTGATTTTTTGATCAAGATATCTTATCTTTCAAATATTGCTTTCATATGAACCTGTTATTTTTCAGGTTAGCTTTGGGCAGTCAGAGGCAAAGGTCTGTTGGTTACCTAGCATCTACTTATTTCCTCACTTATTCTCTATAATTTCTTTTTCATTAAGTTAGTAAACATTTCTGTATTTGACTTACTTTTTCTTTTAATTTTTATATAACATTCTTACTCATCAGTGATTTAATCATCCTTGATGAGGAATTTGAAAAATATATGTTGTCATTGTGTATAAATTGAAATTTTTTTATCAGATTGAGGCCATCATGAATGACTTTATACAGCTGAAGCCACAGTCTAACGTGTATGAAGCTGAAACTATGGTTGAAGGTTATTTGCATCTACCAACAACTAATTGGGGCTTCTATTTACTGTAGTGGCGTTTATATTCTGCTTAAATTCATTTCCTCATGTCTATTCATTTCATATGAGAAGGGACATTGGATGGCTTCTTTTTTGATTCGGATGAGGAAGCTGGCAAGATGCAGAAGTCCACCCACCAAACTGATCAAAACGAGCATGGTGAGGAACAAACTAATGGTAAATTGAAAGGGAAGGACAAAACATCAGTAAGTTTCTTGGTAGTCATTCTTTTTGTTTTAGATTTCTCCTTAATAAATGAAAATGCTGGTGCATGCATACTTAATTGCTGAGAATCTGGTGCAGGGTGCTGAAAAGAAAAGAGGTAGAAGTACAGGAGGAAAACCACAAGCAAAGATAGTAAAGAAAAAAACTCCAGGTTCCAAGAGGGCAAAAACAAAGAAATGAATCAAAGAAGCTCTGCAATTTCTTGTATATCCATGAATCAATAGACTCAATCTTTGGATCAAAAGTACGATGCTGAATTACTTTACCCATGACAGGGATGGTGATAATACAACAACTGTCGTTAGAGTTCTTATCAAACCCACACAGAAGAATTCAAAGCTTATGATATGATCAGCTGAATGAGTTCTTATAAATTCCTTTTTATGTTCCTAATTCTCAAACCTGTTGTAATATTACTCACTGTAGTTTATTCTTTTTCAGTGAATATTATTTGTTATCTTTGAATTGATCTGTATTAGCCGGCTCTTATTATCTGGAAGGGCTGGTTTCTAAAATTTCCGCAGAATATTTAGTATAGAGTATGTGAGAATGAATTTGGGGATTCGTAAATTCCCGGTTACATTGCAAATAACTATTTGTTTTCCTTCCTAGCAATTATTTTTCAACATTTACAAGTTATCTCGAAAGAATGGTGATTTGACTGACATTATGACTGGGTGCTATTTAGCTTTTTCCCGTTGGTTCTCAATCAAATCCCAACTTATTGAGCTTTGGGAGTGTTTTCTAAATTATTTGTTTACGGAGGATTCTTCAAGTGTAATATTTTCGCGGTTCTTCATTTCCGTCTCATTGTTTGGGTCGGTTTTTCCTCCCCACTTTCAAAAGCCCTTTCGGAGTTCTTTCCAGACATTATTTTGTATCACTGGCCGTGTTTTGGAAATGCCAAGAAAGTAAGACTAGAAACCGAGAGAAAAATTAGCTCTGGAAAGGGTAATAGAATGCTTGATGATGAAGTGACCTGCTGATGCTTCCGATAGGGCTGTTTACTCGGTGGAGGAGGAGATGCAATATTTGGTTTTTTCATCCTGTGTTGTAATGTAAAATTTCAGTTATGGGCTATTTTTTCCTTCTTTCTTGAAAGTATAGCAATAAATTGAAAGGGAAGGGAAACAAATTGAAATTGTAGAGAGAAAGTGCATGTATACCTATTGCTGTAGGGACAGAAAACAATGTCATATTCATAAGCTTTACAAGTGAAAGTGCTGGTGCCATCATCAAATGCATAGCTATAAGCTCTTGGACAGGCCTTCTTGAAAATAGTTGAATAATAGGAAGGCTGGCATGTATTTGGATTGGCAAATTCTCCACTGCAGCAATACTTGTCCAACTTGAATGCTTCGCAAGCACTCCTACACCCAACTACACCTTGGTATCGATCTTCTCCTACTACTTGTAGTTCTTTTGGGCAACCTATACCATTGCGTTTTTTCTTATTGTATAAACACTCAAATGTCTCTTCTATGTCATTTAAATTCCTAATTACATGTGATGTAGCTGTACTTTAAATACACTCTTACCTTTGTTGATATCAACAACACAACCTGTGGCATTGCAGGCACCACCATATACACCTCGTGGCATAGCAAGTAATGGCAAATTGTAGCCATCTACCATGCTGACGTCGTAGTAGTCTTGTCCATTGCCTGCACCAAGCGTTATCTCAAACAGTGAGGTAGGAGGAGCAGCACCATTCCCATCACATTCCAGCCTTCCCCCACAGTCACCTGTTTGGCATTTGCCAATTCCTGTTGCATCAAATTTGCAACCTGTTCTTGCCCATATCCGTCCTGACCATCCTGGAACAGTTGTAAGTTTGATGCTTTGGGCCGTGTCCAACTGGAATCCGGTCGTCGAAAGCCGAGGACTCCCTGAACCTGCAAGAGTACCAGGCCATATAGTATGGGGGCAGTTGTTGATTATGGTGAATGTGTATGAGAAAGAACAAGAGAAGAATGTAAAGAGAATAAGCAAACTGTTGTGCTTCCAAGATGGCTTTGTTGGCATGTTCAAGGATTTTGATGATACTGTAGGTTGAATATTTGAAACTTTGGGGGGTTGATTATGATGGCCAAGGGAATGGGAAATGCCCCCAAGATTTGTAATTTATAGGATTATGAAGGAGGGAGTTGTGTGCTAAATCAGTTAAGCGTTACAAACAGATAAACCGTTAACGTTACTTCGATGGAATTCTTAGCCGCAAGACCAGCTTTATGGGTTTAGTATTTCTTTTATTGTGGATGGCCTCATTTAGAAACAATTCTTTGCTTTTACTATTGCATGGGATGTTGTACAAAACTGGAATTCCATGTGACCTCCTGACCGGAAGAAATCATTGATATCTTAAAAGAATAATGTCAGAAAATCTCTGATTGTACCATGTAGTAAGAATTTGCATGGGATTATCATAAAAGAAAACTGACCCAGGATTCCTCCTATATAGAGTTAACTAGATTAGGTAGAGGGAAACATTTGTAACCTTTCCAGCAAGCAAAAGCAGAACTTTTCAACAGTAAAATTGACACAAACTTCTTTACCACTTAATCTATCCATTTTGACTACTATTTTTTTAAAAAGAATTTGCAACGTGATTTTTGGTATTTAAGAAATTAATTTCATATTAGTAAGTAGGAACGCCCCGCTTAGGCTCTTTCCATTATTATTAATTTTTTAGGTGTGGAAATCTACCCAATAAATTTCTTTCGATGGGTAATTTTACTTCTTTAAACCCTTTAATATGCCTTTTATATCAAGAAGTGTAATTCAGAAGAAAAAGAAAAAAAAAATTGATTGAAAATCAATAATCAAAATTTTAACAAATTCATAATTCACTATATCCTATTTTTTGGAAGAACCAAATCTCTGGAAAACGAAATGTCAGAATGGAAATGATTTGTAAACCATTGAGGCACCATGTTGCTTTACAATTAACATTAGTCCTTCATCTGCCACTGCCAAGGCTTCTTCAAGAATTCACGAATTTGGTAACAATTGGAGCACAAGGACGATAGCTTCACAGTACAGCGAGTATCCACAGCTAAAGATTAATCAGCTTTCGACCAAAATATATCTAACAGTAATCCTTGCCTCAGGAAACTTTGATGTTATGACGTCAAAAATTAGTCAACGGAGATAGAGAGAGCAGCCAAAAGAACGGTCTCTCAGACATATTTTTTAGTACACTATTAATTATTAATTAGAATTTATTAAAAACTATAAAATATAAGAGATAATCTTTAAATTAAGAATAAAAAAATAAAACTTGCATATTTTTATTATTTTTAATAAATAATTTTTTAACATGTATACAAAAACACGTTATAAAAATCTATTAATGATAAACTTTTTTTTTAAAAAAATATCACAGAATTTAATACATTAGTAATATTAAATATTACGATTATTAATAAAAACTTACGAATTTTTGAATTCTTAACACGTGTCAATAACTTTGATAGCTCAAAAGTGTGTTAAAAAAAATGTTATGTACATTTTTCTATAGATAAATCCAAAGACAGCATGTCTATAAAAATATCAAAATAATAAAATTCATACTTTGTTATAGTTGTAAACATATTTTATTAAAATATAATAATTGTTGACCTTTTTAATGGTTAAAGTCCCCACACCCTTCATTAAACATGATTTTACAAAGGAGCTAAAATCCACACCCTCTACATTTTTCTTTCTTTTTCAAAAGTTTTCTTTCTAAAGAGAGATTTTGTGTAAATTTTTAATATGACTTTTTTGGAGAAACAGAAAAGAAGAAAAAAAAGAGTTTGAAGAGTATAAAAAAAATTAATAATTAAAAAAACTCTAAAACATAAAAGAATTTACGCATAAACTTCTTCATCTACAAACTTCCAAAAAAAATAATCTCGGTATAAGTCTTTTTTTCTTTTCTTTTTTCATTCTCCCAAAAAAATAAAATCTAAAAGTATATTTAGATAAGATATTTGAAATAAGTAGTTGATTTTTTCAAAAAAAAATTGCAATTCTAAGAACTTTATTTAATAAACTAAAATTAAAAAATTATCATATTTTTATTTATTTATTGTTAATTTAGTATTTTAAATTTTAAATTTTAATTATTTTTTTCAAATTTAACAATAATTTTATTTTTTAAATGTAAATTTAATTATTCTGTCCAAACAAAAATATTTTAAATATAAAATTCAATCATTTTATTTAAATAAAATATTTTAAAATAATACAAATTTCAATAATATAATTTAAAATTCCCTAAAATTTTTAATTACATTATCCGAACGCAACCTAAAATATGTAATGTAAGTGTTTAAAACAAACTCGAACTAAGCTTTGGATAGGCACAAGAAACTCGACTATTCCAAATTTCATAAATGAACTGTGTATAAGTGCTACAAAAATTATCAAGAGAATAAAAAAAATATATGCTTACAAATCTCTATCGCAGGATCTACCTAGGAAACAAACAAAAAACTGGCAAAAAACATTATCAAGGCTGAGGAGAATTTGCTTTCACAATACAAGGGAAAAATAACTTCCAATCCTCCAATTTTAAGGGCCCTATTTGGATGGGGGAAGGCCGGAAGGGAAGAGGGATAAGAGAAATAAATGCAGTTTTGACTAATAAGACAGTGCTGATGAGTTAAATATCACAAGCCAGGTCACTTATTTGTTCAATCATGCCGCTGCCCACAGGCAAGAGATGATACAGTGGAAGACAAATTCAACAGTTGTATTGAAATTAAGTATGCATATTTTCTCAGCTTTCCATATTGTCTCGATCATCCACCAAAACTTGTGAAGAGCATCAGAACTGTGCTTTCATAAACTCTTACACCCTCTCTGGATCAGCTGCTCCTCTCATGACTATTTACATCCCCATAATTGATGTCATATCCAAACTTCAGAGCAGAGGCAAACTAGAGCATAAGTAGTTATGCAGGTACCTACAAGAAAACAATGAGACAAGAGTATCAATATTCCATCTCCAACCATAGAGCAATTCCATATTGCAATGTTTTATTCAATATTGCAAAACAAATGTTTTGAATGCTCCTTGGTAGTGACATGCTTCAAAACCTGCACAAGTTACATTAAACTCAGACAGCAAGCCATCAGTCAACTCAGAAAGAATAAGATAATAAAGTTGAATTGGAAAAAATAAAATAAAAAGCGTGAACTATCGTCTCTGCTGAGCCTGCAACAAGATAAGAAATTTGACAGCAAAGTTAAAAATTAGTTTTCACATGCACAAAGACTTTGCTCATACGAGGAACCGGAGAGAACCTGAGCGTACAAAATTGAAGGTAACCAACATAACCCTGACTAGGTTATCAGCCTAAGGGAGAAGATTGATAATTGAGTGCTATTCTAGTGGAATTAAGGGAAGCAGAAGGAGTAAAATAGTACAACCCGGTAGCAGTAGCATTAGTAATGAGTACACTAATACTCTAAAAGTTCTGCCCTGCAATTAAGAAATACTAGAAACTTGACAGCCAGCTAGAAAAGGTTCACAGTTTACATTGTTGATAGATAGTACACCATTCAGATCCAGGTCCGGTAGTCCGCTTCTCACTAAGGTTAGCAAGAAACTTAAATCAGATTTCATATATCTGAATAATAGAGCCAGCTCAAATCCCCATTCAACAGTCAAGCTACATTAAGCTCTACATTACATTAAACTAAAAATATGAGGAGTTCCTACAATAGATGAACATACAGCATGTCCATCAATAAGTAATCCATAATTGTTCAAGTTCCATTATTCATACTCATCTAATGTAGAAAAAGGGGGAAAATAAAGGACAAGTGAAATGATAAAGAGTTCTTCCAGTTATATAACATATATCTAGCTCATATCCATGCCATCTCCAACTTGGCTGCAGATAGGACTGGCAGAAGAAAAAGATCTCTCAAAAGGAGACGGATGGAATTGGGCATCCCGTCTACGCTTAAAACCACAGCCATCAGTAGGAGAATTTTCTGCATCAAGCTTTCTTCGAACACCCCGCACCGCTTGTTCCTCTGCCGGTGTAAGGGGGAAAGTTTGACGACTAGCTCGACAAAGAGAGCTATGGTTGTCATACAGAATTCTCTGGTTACAATTTTTATCACAGATGTGAGTCAGCCCTGTTAGCTTGCAGCGATACATGTTTCCACAAACATGTTCATTTTCACATTTCCAGTCGCATTTGTGAACAGGAATCGGACCATCTCGGCCCAAAATGCTTGACAGAAAAATAACATTTGCAGGACCAGCAACCATAGATTTGCCATATACCTCCATTCCTTCAGTTGAAACAGCAACTCCTAAGTAAAATCTTATACTCTCCGAGTTCAAGGCCTTGCCTGAATTGTCTGCAGGGCCCACCACAACAATAACACAGATTTCAGTCAAACTCAACAATATTTATCCCCTAGCTGGAAAGATATATAAGAACTAACACAGCCTACAACTGGTTTTATTCTGAAGGGTCTCTCAATATCATCTTATTCCCATTTACAAAAAGCCCAACCCAAGACATTTTATAAACTAAAAGGGTAGACAGAACGGAAACCTGCCACTAGAATTAACAGCCGTTGACCAATAATAGTCAGAAAGGAGCAAATTGGATATCACAAAACGCAAATCTAGAATCTAATTCGTACAAAGTGAACAAAATTACATTCAACTGCTTCAGCTACTACCCTTTGAAAAACTGCAACAAAACAAAGGACGTTTATTCTAGACAGAAACAAACACCCACATGTGACAGATCTAAAACAAGACGAACTGGGACTTCCTAAAAAACAGATAACACGACAAACTAACACACGCGCTCTGTCAACAATCAAACGCCAAAAACTCAAGGCGCTTTTCGACGTTCTAGAAAAGCATACATCAAATTGCTTTAAATATTCATGCTACACACTTAAGTAACAATAAGAATAATAATTTAGAATCACAACACACCCCGAGAAGAGAAAACAAAGGGTAATTACTCACGCTCTTAGCTAAGTGAAGCCCACGTATTGAGTCTTCTTCCTTCTGAGTACCTACAAAAAAAAAAAGAGAAACCACCGAAGATAACAAAAAAGAAAAGCGCTTTATCTCTCTCTCTCTATCTCTCTAACTCTCACCGCAGAGCCTAAGCTAACATCGTTAAATTAAACGAGGAGGAAGCGGAATGAGTGGGGTATTTATAGGAATTTGGCGCTGAATGCTCTTGCTGGTGACTTTACACTTGTGGGGTTGACGCCCCTCACAAAGGACAAAACACACGCAAATCAAAATGCAAACCAAATGCACGCCAAATTTCCCCCAAATGTAATTTCGCCCCCTCTTTACCTACAATTTTGGATAAACTACCGGATCCAACGCTCTTTCTTAACCCATCACTTTTTTTTATTATTTAAAAAATACGATACGAATGAATGAAACAACTTTTAATTTTAATTTAATATAATTTCATGCCTTATTTGTCACGTGCACTGCACCCAACGGTTCTCTCTCGCGTCACTCATCTCTCGCACTTTTAAACGTTTCAATTTACTGAATGAACCACAGGGATTAAGAGGACAGACAAAACGCGGAGACCTTATCTTCCTATCCACACTTGACACGTGTCAGAACGACCCTCCTCCTCGGGTCCATGATTTCGGGCTTCTTTGTTGGGCTAAAGCCCATGACCCGAATTCCCCCTAACGAATCTTCTCTAGGGTTTCCAGAGTTTCGATTTGCTTTATTTTCCGTTGTGGTTGCTTACCCTGAGCTCTGAATCTGAATTTTTAATCGACACGATGATTTGTCTTTTCAATTCAATTTTCTACGAATATTTTTACTAAGAGAAAGAACTCACATTATTAATGAGCGTTGGGGTTTTGCTTGAAGGAAATGAAATATTAACCGATTAAACTTTTCCCCTTCTCTCAACCTAACCTCCGTCATGTTAGTGAAATTAGATCAGAGCATCACTTCAGGAAGTGCTTCACTCTTTTTATAAATATGAACAATTTTCTTTTCCTGCTTTGATTTTTCCTAGATCCCAGTCGGTAATTGAAGGCAACACACGTCTATGTTATATCGAAACATCGTGTTTAAGGGAGTAACCCTGTCTCAAAATATGAAGGAAAGAGGGAACTGTGTTAAAATTGGGACTAGAACAGTCAAGTTTTTGCAGCAGTAACTTTTTTATGTATTTAATAAACAACTAATTACACGCCTTAAAGTGAATTAGAAAAAACACAAAAAAGGTACAAAAAAGTTCAAGCAATTGACACACTAGAGATAGAGATGTAACAGCGTTCATTATGAGTTTTCTTGGTGGCTAAATTAGGTCGAACAGTTTTATCATGGTTCATCATAATCCTCAATTTGATGTGATTGCCAGAGAATTGAGCATTCCGATAGTAGGCATCATGCATTTCAATTTGACTGTGCAGCAGCTTGTAGATGATGAAGAATTATGTCTCTTGAGAATCTTTGTGTACTAATTTTGGGCAATTTCTCTAGTTATTTGGATTTTCATTATTACAAGCTTTAGTCCTTTGAGCAAGAAAGAAAGGGATATTGGTTATGGAAGTTTGAAAGATGTCCTTTCTGTTTCCAATTGCACCAAATCAGTCTACAACGAAGCTGGACTAATGTTTTCACTCTGGAATCTCATCCACTACCACTTTTTGGTCCATCTGGGTAGACTAATGAGGACTATCTTCTCGTAATCCACCCTGCAAGCTTAGATGAGCAAGATGTAGTGATTAATCGTTAAGACAGCGACAATCCCAACTTTCTTGGCCTTGAAAATAAAGTTAACAAGGGTAAAGCTTCTTGGGCATTATCCAAGTTCATCAAGCATTTGAAGCAAAGAGCGGTAGTTATTATATGTTAAGTTTACTTCCACCTGTGTTTATGGTCACCTCCTCCACCAGGAAAAGAAGATAAATATAAGCCACCATTTTCCTAGTAAGGGCAGTTTTGTTGGTGTTATTGTTTCTGATCATCTGATGCTGTCTAGATAACTTTTGAGGGTTGTTAGCTTTGCTTTGTATTATGCCTTTTTCTTGTGTAACCGAAAAAAGGATTAATATGCTTCTTAATATTTGTCATTTATTTGGTTAAGCATGGTTGAGAAAGTTTTTATTGATGTTAAAATGAGTTTCAGCATGAATCAGAATTTTCTTAGTGGGTACTTCTCAGTAACCATTACAAGTTACAACAAAGAAGATACTTTATAGCTAATGTTAGCTATTAACTTTTATAATGGCTCCAAATTTGATAGAGGCTAGATTGTTTGAAGCTTTAATGCTCTACTTCCTTTGATGTTTAAGAAACGTATTTTAATCTTGTGTTTCTCCACTTCATTAAGGAAAGTTTATAAATGCAAACGTATTAGAAATAAAAATGGCTACTTCTGTCGTCTAGAAGCACTAGCAAGCTCAGTTTTCCATTGTGGTTCGGGACAGAAGCAAGCTCAGTTTATACATCAAGTTGTTCTCCAATTAGTGTGCTTCTTATTGATAGTTTTATTGAAAGTTCAGTCCTTACTCCTTATCCTTAGTCACTGTAACCGTGCTCAATCCATGTGGAAATACCATCGTCAAAGAACCAAAATAAGTACTCTAGCCAGACCAGCATCCTTATCAATGATTCAATGTGTCCTTAAAATGTGCCCAAACAATCAGGAACAATGCTCACAGCTTAGTGTGATGCCACCGCAATCAACATACAACAGAGGCAGCTATTGTTTCTCTTGGGTTGGGTGCCTTCAACATCTTTTTCCCTCTGTTTTTATGGATATTTGGACCCATTCCTCGTTTCCAATGTTTCCTTCTTGCTTCGTCCTGGCTTTCAGGCGTTATATCTTGCACATCTCACCTTTAAATGTGGGTGGGCTGAAGTGATCACTGACAGTCTTGAAGCTCAACTGCACCAGCATCATGATTATATCGATGTCCTACTCCACATTAGAATCAGTTTCTTTGAGGTAGAAAACTTTATTTTGACCCTAACTTATAGACTACCGAAGGATTGCACCTGGGAAATGGGAATATATTATAAGATATAGAAATGGCATTGGAAGTTCTTGAAATGAATGAGATTTAAGCATTAAGATCAAAGCTTAGCTTAGTTAGCTAGAATGATGAAAAAAAGGATGATTACAAGAATATGGACGCTAGGATAATTCTCTTTTAGCAAAACTTCAACCATCTAAAAAACATTAAGATCTTCTGTCTCCTGCTATGCAGCTCAAATTCAGTAAAATTAAGAAGAAAAACCATACTTTTTTTACCAAGCAACTTTCTGGCTTCCATTGTAACATCAACAAACCGGCCGTTTAGATTTGATATGGTTCACAGCAGCCTCGCTTTTGCCAAAAGAACAGGAATCCTTCATTTGTAAATCTTGCCCTGGTAAGTCAAATTAGAGGTTGCATGTCTGTCAAGCAATAATTATTGAATCACTAAACAACAAGTAACATACAATATTATATTTTGAAATATCCATTTTTTTCTATATTAATTTCTAGCAGAGCATTGACTAACACGAACACGACAGACATTTTTAACAACAAATGCAATTGATGTGATCCTTAAGATTGAATTCTCAACAATAGCATGAAAATATGGAAGTACAGATAGAAATGTCTAAATTAAATCTAAAAACTTTGAATAAACTGCAATTTAATGACATTTATAGTCATTGAACCCTGATATAATATTAGAGTGAAAAAATAAAAATAGATTAAAAAATGTCTAATAGAAAGGGATCCATTTATTATGAGCGAAGCTTTTAAATTTTATAAGGGTTTTGTAAAGTTCAAACACCTAAAAAAAGCATTTTTTTAATTGAAAAATCACATATCCATTATACTAAAGTTAAAAAAGAGTGATGAATGCTTTTTTTTTTTTTATTAAAAATATTATTTTTATATGCTTAAACTTAGGAAAAAATTAACATTTTTTTTATAATTGGACTGCAAATTGAATAATTGGACTAAATAAGATATTGTCACTGAAAACTTGAAAGAGGAGAAACTCTTGATTCCTATGACTTGAGCTCAACCACAAACTCAAAAATTTTCCATACTCTTTCACCTTACAAAAATTTTGCAATACTAAACTTGAAAGAGAAAGGAAGGAGAAACAAAATTGCTATTTATTTCAAAATCATTATAAAATAATAAATTATAATTGTAAAGTAATATTTTCTAAATTTTGTAGGATAATATTAATACAATAAAAATAAATTAATAAAAATAAAATATTTTTAATTTTTTATATTTATAGTTTATTACCCTGATTTTTATATTTATATGTTAAATTATTCAGTACGAAATCATTGTTATAAAGAGACTCATTTAAAGTTTAAAATAAACCCGTAATTGCGTTAATGACTGTCTTTTGCATTTATTATTATATAAAAATATCAAATAACTTTCTAAAATATATATATTTTCTATTTCTACAATATTTATAATACAATAATTTTTTTTGTTAATTGTTGATAAATTTATTTAGTTCTCTTTCCTAATCAATATAATTATTTAAAGTGTAATAATTAAGTTTAATAGTTTAATTTTTAATCCTTTTAATTATAATTTTTTACTATTTATTAAAACCCCTAAATAAAATATTTGTGAACACATTTTTCATATTAAATTGTATAAAATACCATTATTATAACTAGTATATATTAATAAATATATTCCATAATTTAACAATATATTATAATAATTTAATAGCATTTAGACATTTATATCAATAATTATAATGTTTTTGACTAACACTATCCAAATAACATTCTTTATATTAATTTTTTTTTTTACTTAAACAGGATATTATGGAATTGACTCCCCTATTCCTTGTGACTAACCTTACTGTTTATTAAGTTAAGCTTTAAGTCCTGTTTAATAGAAAAAAAAACAGTTTTTATTTAAACATTTTTAATCATAAATTTATTTATTCAAGTGCAGTTCTTACTAAAATTAATTATACAAAATCAAATTTTGGAAGAGTCAATATCACAGATCAATCAAACACTGGGCGACGGACAAGAGCTCAATGTTTAAGTAAAATTGAGTTCCTGACGAATAATAATAGAAATGCCACCTTGAGGTTAGTGTGTTCATCTTATACCTATTGCTGTCTTTGTTTGATTATTTTCACATGTTCAATAGTTGTGTCAAGTATTTTGAAAAAATTTTATTTGGCAAATACTATTTTGTATCATGAAAGTACGAATAGTATCTGCTAGCAGTGGTACAAGTTTTGTTTTATCCATCGTAATTGTCATTATGTCTCTTCTCAAATTTCTAGGCCCGACAAATCCAATACTATTAATAACCAGAGTCTAAGAATACCATTGATACTTGGTACTTTGATAAGATATACAATTTTCCCATTTTTTTATGGCCATTTCATGAAAAAGTTAACTCGTCACATTGTAATATTTCCAAAGCTATTAACATTTTTTTTTAAATCAATTATCATCAGCTAGCAGTCTATTTCTGAATTTGACACTCATCCAGCAATTTCATTCTTGTGATATTAACATTTTTAGTGGTTTCATATAATAATGTTAAATCAACCGTCAAATTCAAGGGAAAGTGGTTAATAAAGTTGAACATTGTAATTTCTGCCTGAATTTCCCATGATCCTTCAAATCGTAGTCGCTCGAGACAGGAAACAACTTGTAATAGATACATAAACATGTTTGATTTGACGGTTGATTAATAAAAATATTTTTTTTATTTCTTATTTTGGTGCATAGAGAGATTTGAATTGTCTTTAATTTACATAGAAACTGAATCTTCAATTAATTTTTTTAAAATAATTCTAATTCGCTTAAGTTCATGAAAAAATTATTTCAACTAATTTTTATAAAACAAATAATTTTTTAAAAAATAGCTTAAATAAAAAATAACTTAAACAAAAATGATAGATTTAAAAAAAAATTAATAAATATTTAATTTTTACTTATTTTTTTTTAATTTAACATTTCCTCTTCAACCTCCATATTCAGTTTCTTTACTTTTATATTCAAAATTTTTTTTTCTCTTATACTTAATCCTTCTTTTTTTTTTTTTAACCTTATACTTAATTCATCTCTTTCTCTTTTCATTCTCACCTAACTCAATATCTATTTCTCTTTCTTTTCTTTATACTTAACTTTTTACTTTTCTTTTTCTCTATCACCACTTTTATATTATCTGTTCTCCCTGTCTATATCCATTTTTAGTGTTCTCATTTTTCTACGTCTAACATTTATCTTCTCAAATATATAACATTCACTTAAGTTAAAATAATTTATTTAAACTAATTTTGTGTAAAAATTTTTATCATTTTTTATATTTTTATTTAACAAAAAATAAATTAAAAGTCCAATTCTCACGTAAACTGGATCCGATCGACATCGGATCCCGTCACACATTACTTTTTCATTTTATCAACCTTATAAACCTGAACTCATCGAATTAGATTCAAGTTGATGTATTCCTAAAATAAATAAACTTGATAAAACATACAATAAATCAAGTTCAAATAATTTATAAATCATTCATCATATTAATGCTCACATATATAGTTTTTATTTTTATACTTTGATTTATAATAATTTTTTATTATTAATTATAATTTTTAATAAAAGTTCATTCTTTTTTAATTTCTTAACATGCATCTTGGAACACAGACTAAGCAAGTTAAAACTTGGAGGACCAAAACCATATTATATACTAAGCAAAACGCTGACTAAGTTAAGTTCCTAGCTGGAAAAGTAGAAAAAAGACATGCTAGTTCTGGCATGTGAAGTACGATGAAATCGTGGGAATAAAATACTTGTCACACTAATCAGATTATTTTGGGTTAAGATGCCTAAATTGATGATCTTATCCACTACCAACCTACTAGTTATTGGAAAATTACTTTCCAATCTTATGTATAACCCTTTTAATTAAATTATATAAATTAAGAATAAAAATATTAAATTATTATACTTTTATATTTTAATATAATAAATTTTTTATTTTTTGTATACTTAAAGTCTCTTACAAAACCCAACTTTAAAAGGTATAGAGAATAAGTCCATTTTAGCTTTAACCAAGTACTGCCTTCCCCACTACGGTATCTTTAAATAGAAATAGGATCAGAATTTATAAGTAGCTGATAGCGTTGTCTGAACTCATAAGAAGGGGAAAAGAAGAGACAGTAGATAGTTCTATGCAATTTAGCAGCCGGCCAGAGTCGGCTTTGTCCCTCATTGCCCTGTTTGACAAAAGAAAAACGACAGATAATATCAATTTCATTATGAACGTTAACGACAGCAATGGAATCACAGTGTTGATTAATTAATTTGAAGGATCCCCGTTCTGCAGTGTTTTGAGAAGTGCTACGATATTGATAACATCAAATGTGGCATCTTTTTAATTATAAATTTTAATTTTTAATTCTTTAATCAGTAGTTCTGTACTCTAATAATACTAACCAACGTTCTCTTTGTTTCAATTATCCACAGAAAAAAACAGCGTTGATTCCGTGAATTTCTGCATCTTTGAATGGCGATGGACAAGACAGCGTTTGTTCGCCATTTGGAATTTGGATGGATGGATGACTGAATCCGCTGCAGATTCACATGAATTCATGGGTATTGGTATTGGATATTCACATGAATTTAAAAAAAAATCTATTTTTATCCATATTAATTAATATATAGATGAGGGTACAATAAAAATGAAAATACTAATTATTTTTTAAAAAATTATGCAAAACTTTAAGCGTCACAGGAAAAATCAGTGTAATAAGAGAAACATGATAAATGAAGTCAAATGAGAATATGATATTTTTATACAAAAATTTGTGGAAAACTTTAAAGTGACATATAAGAAAATTGGATAAAATAATATATTGTTAAAATTTTTAGTATGTTTATAATTATAAAAATTAGAAAATCATGTGATTTTTATTTATAATTTTAAATAAATTTCAATTAATAAATGAGTATTTACTAAAATAATTTTTTAATGAATATATTCTACTTCTCGGCACTGCTCAATTAATTATATTTTAATAAATATACATTTATATAAATATGTTATTAATTAATAAATAAAAAATTATTAAATATTATTTAATGTTTTCAACTCTTTAAATACAATTTTTTTTCATTCAATATTTATTCTATCAAATATTAAAAGAAATATTAAGGTATTTTAAGACTCTTTAAGATAATTGAAGGCTTTCGTAATTAGTATGGGTAATATTTGTTCTAAAGTTTTCAAATTAACTTGTTCGTATTATCTAATTATGACAAATTTGCACAAATCAGATATGTGCACACCAAAAGACTAATGTACACTACTTTTTTCTTTAATAGAACCTGATATCTTATTTTACTGTATTATTTTATTTTATTAATACTTTCAAATTATTATCTTAAGGAAAATGATAAATTAGAAAACATTAAAATACACTAATTAATATACTTTAATTAAATTAAATAATAAAATTTTCATCACATAGTTTAACAACTTACATATGTATGACCAAAATAATCTATTAAAAAAGTAAATAAATAATTTTTTTAAAATACTTATTTATCAGGCACTATTTTAATTTTTAAAAAATAAAAGAAAATATAAGATACGTTAAAAAATATATCTAAAAGAATGTATTATAAACAATTTTTTGCTACTAAGAAAACTGCAGGTTCACTGACTTGCCAACACGATATGATTGAACATTTTGGTAATATAGTATTAATATAGTCAAATTCTTTGAATGATATAAAATCCAAACACCATCAGAATTAAACCAAAGAAATCTACTTCCGGCATGAGTGAGGTAGGAAAGGACAATACTTTCACGGTTTGAACAGAACTTATTCAAGTAATGAAAAAGATAATGAAAAATATAAAGAAAATATAAGAAAACAGCAAAATGCGAAAAAATTGAGCTAGAAAATATAAGAACTTTTTAAGGGTGAAATAAGGAAATCAATTTTGACAGGAGAAAACGGCCGTCTCCACATAGCTTGCGTAGGGGTCTGGAATGGTTAGCTGCCATGTCCCATGTGCTTTGTCTTGTGACTGCAAACTACAAAAGTTTACTCCAAATTTGTCATATTAAATACCCCACTTCTCTTATCCCACTTCACTCTTCCCCTTAAATTCTTTCACTACCTTCATCTTAATTCTCACACAATTGCAACAATTCTTTCAATTTTCATCAAGTGCCAAAAATGGGTTCCACGGAATCAGGCCCCCCAATACCCGGCAACCCAAAAAGTTCTTCGCTTTTCAGGTACAATTCACCGTTTGTTCAGATCATTCTTATTGGGTTGGTCTGTTTTTGTTGCCCTGGCATGTTCAACGCCCTCTCTGGAATGGGGGGTGGTGGTCAACTCAACTCCACTGCTTCCAACAACGCTCTCACTGCCCTTTACACAACCTTTGCAATTTTCGGGATCCTCGGTGGTGGAATCTACAACATCCTCGGACCCCACCTTACCCTCTTCGCAGGTTGCTCCACCTATGTTCTTTATGCTGGTTCCTTCCTTTACTACAACCATTACCAACACCAAGCCTTTGCAATTATTGCTGGTGCCATTCTTGGAATTGGTGCAGGGCTTTTGTGGGCTGCGCAGGGTGCGATTATGACCTCTTACCCTCCAGAAAATCGCAAAGGCACTTACATTTCCATTTTCTGGAGCATCTTCAACATGGGTGGTGTTATTGGTGGTTTAATTCCTTTTATTTTGAATTACCATCGTGATACTGACGCTGCCACTGTTAATGATGGAACCTACATAGGATTTATGGTTTTTATGTCTATTGGGACTGTTTTGTCCTTGACTATTTTGCCAGCTAGCAAGGTTGTTCGTAATGATGGCACTAGGTGCACCAACATGTTGTACTCTAGTGTGGCAATTGAATTGGTGGAGATTCTGAAGCTGTTCTGCAATTGGAAGATGCTTCTCATCATTCCTGCTGCTTGGTCTAGCAATTTCTTCTACACTTACCAGTTCAATCATGTTAACAAGATACAGTTCACTTTGAGGACTAGAGGGTTGAACAACGTGTTTTATTGGGGGGCACAGATGCTGGGTTCGGTTGGGATTGGTTATGTGATGGATTTCAGTTTTAAGAGCCGAAGGAAGAGAGGGATTGTGGGAGTTGCTGTGGTTGCTCTTCTTGCATCTGCTATATGGGGTGGTGCGCTTGCAAATCAGATTAAACGCCACGCTGAGACATTGGACTTTAAGGACTCAGGTTCTCGCTATGCTGGGCCATTTGTTTTGTATTTTAGTTTTGGGTTGCTGGATGCTATGTTCCAGAGCATGGTCTATTGGGTTATAGGAGCCCTGGCTAACGATTCTGAGATTCTTAGCAGGTAAATTAATGCAGAGCAGAATCAATCTCTCTTGTTTAATTATTTGATTTGATTTGATTTGATTATTTTTCCTATTTATGATTGTTTTAATGTGTATTTATAAAATGTTAAAAAGTCTTAAAATTAAATTCATCACAGAAGTTATAAGTAGTCTTAATTATATAAACTTGTGAATCGGACCACACACTTAATTTTCGCTTAATGAAAGGGTGTGGTTAATGGACTATATATAAATCATGCTTATACAGGTACGCTGGATTCTATAAAGGGATACAAAGTGCAGGGGCAGCAGTGGCTTGGCAAATTGATAACCAAAATGTGTCATCTATGTCTCAGTTGATTGTGAATTGGGTGCTCACAACTCTTAGCTATCCGTTATTGTTGGTTCTGGTTGTGTTGGCTGTGAAAGAGGACAATAAGACAGATGAGGAACCAGTCAAACAGGTTGCTCCTTCATCAGCTGAAAATGGCTTTGCCCATTGACTACAATATCCAGATGCTGAAACAACCTACAGCCTCTTTTGTCTAATTTCTGTTGTCCCTTGCTTTTCATCGTTACCCAATCAAATATAAAACTTCAAAACATTAGAAGTTCTATTTGTAGTGTTAATGCAATTTATATTACCGTTAAAATTTATAGGTGTTAACAATACATTTCTTTTATATTACAACCATAATAAGTTAATAACTTGCGGTTAATGTGGGTTGGAGTCTAAGACTTACTGGCTAAGGTAATAGATGTTTGGGGATTACTTGAGAGGTGTTTTTTTTTTTTTTAAATATGGGATTTGGTAATTAAATTTATCAAAATATGATATTTTAAGAAAAAAAATGAAAATACGGAAAATGATTAAAAACTAACGATGAGTCTCTTAATGTCAAGAGAGTAATTAAAAAAGTAAAATAGCTATTAATGAGTTTTAAGTCTTAGAAGTGACTTTTTTTTAACTAAAAAATTGTTATTGGTAAGTTTTAAGTATGTTTTTTTTAAATTTTTTTTAGTGAGTTTTGAGTATTATATATATATATATATATATATATATATAAATTGTTATTGACAAGTTTTGGATGAGAAAATTTATTTTTGATGAGTTCTAAAAATTTTTTAGTTATAAAAACTTAATTTTTCTTTATTTTATCTATAGATTGTAATTGACAAAAAAAAATTTAAGCTTGAACGAAAAAAGTTCAAATATAATTATATTTTAATATTGATATTATTACAAATATGAATGAAGGTGTGATATTTAAATGTGATAAGTAAAATTATTTATATTTTTTATACAATATATCGTTTGGAGAATTACAATATTAACTTTGTTAAGTTGAGAATATAATATATAGATGTCCTATTTTAATTTTTGAAAGTTTTATATAATAATAAGCAATTTCAATAATCAATGATGATGATGTAAGACAAATGTTTCATATACATAAGAAATATCATACCCTAACTCTTATCATTAAGTTATATATTATCTTTAATAAAATTTCTATTGGCATTCATAAGCAAGCTTATGATGAGGAGGAAGAACTTGAGTTGAAGATAACTCAATCACAAAAAGAGAATGAGAGCAAAAGATTAGTTAGTAAAAGTGATGATAAAAACTTTAAAAGAGAATTCAAATAAAATGATGTTGTGGATGATTCTGCAAATGAAAAATACCTGCACTTATTAAACATAGTGAGCAGTCAACATTCATTTAGGAAGCAATTTTTCATGCATGCTAAAGATTTTGAGGCTATGCATGCACTTAAGTTTTTAGAGTATACAAACTTGGGTATGTAATTTATGATAACTTGCTTAATGTAGTTTTTGATGTTTTATTTAGTTTGTCTTCATGTTTCATAGGTCATTTTAGTGTAGGATAGAGAATTGTACGTTGAAATAGAATTTAATGATAGAGAAGCTATTAGTTGAACAATTAAACATTACAATATTACAAAGAAGTGAATTTTAAAACTTCACGATAGAACTAAGTGTATTTTATTGTAAATGCAATAACTATGACATAGATTATAGATAGCTTGTTTGGGTTACTTTTTGGAAGAATCTATATCATTGAAAATTCGAGAAGTATAATGGCTTGCACAATTGCACTAAGGCAAAGAATTCCTTAGATTATAAAAAGTTAGGTACAAACACAATTGTAGAATGTATCAAGTCAATAGTAGAATCTGACCCTTCTTTTGAGATAAACTTATGATTAATGAGATTTAATTTCGATATGGATACATGATAATGTATCTAAAACATGAATGACAAAGCAAAAAACAATCAAAAAGTATTTGGTCAATAAAAAACATTGTTTGATACTTTTTCACAATGGTATGTAGCAATATGTGATATTCTAGGATCAGTCATTTAGTTGAATACTATAGAGACATATAATAATGATGAGTTGGTTCATGATATTCAAATATTATGTAAAGTATTTTAAAGTTTTGATCCTTGTATTAGAGCATTTAGACATTTCAAACAACTTGTGTGGATTTATAACACACACTTATATAAAAAATGCAAAGGAACTTTGTTGGTGGTAGTTACATAATATGGCAATCATATTAATTTGCACATCATCCTATATTGATACTTGATGTACAAGCATTTTTTTATTGAATGCCTCTTTATTTAGGTGAAAGTAACAAAGAAGAATTCTTTGAAAAGATTAAGCATCATCTATGACAAAGTCATTGGTGCATAGTAAATCACAAGAAATATTATTACCACTATTATAGTGAACAAATCTTCTTCCTTATGTATAGGTAAATAGTTACATATTTTTAAATATTGTTTTTTACTTAATTAGTTAATATTTTGAACCCACATAACACTTGTAATAACAAATAAATGGTCATGTTTATTAGAATGAAATAATTTATTGTATTAATAAAATGATACTCGAGGAGTGAAATAATGATGTGTTAGATAATTACAACAATTTCCCAGCACACACATCATAAATTAAGACAAGCTCAGGATTCTTAGGATGAGACATTGGCAATGTCATGACATTCACAGAATGACAAGAGGTTCCTCTATTTTCTCTGGTGTCTTGACTTCTTCCTTTTCAGCTTTCTTAGTCTCAGTAGTCACTTTAGTCTTTTCTACCTTGACTTCTACTTTCTCTTCAACTTTTTCTTCTGCCTTGACTTCTACTTTTTCTTCAACCTTGACTTCTACTTTCTCTTCAATTTTTATCTCTGTCTTGACTTCTACTTTCTCTTCAATCTTAGCTTCTACTTTCTCTTCCACTTTTTCTTCTGCCTTATCTTTTACTTTCTCTTCAACTTTTTCTTCTGTTTGGACTTTTACTTTCTCTTCCACTTTCTCTTCAACCTTAACTTCTACTTTCTCTTCAACTTTTTCTTCTGCCTTAACTTCTACTTTCTCTTCAACTTTCTCCTCCTTAGCCTCAATTACATCTACCAAAGTCTCTTCTTTCTTTTCAACTGCTTCCAAGCTATTCTCCTACACAAAGCAAACCCACATAATTTACGAATGTTATGTTGTGTCTATTTTGATGATTTAAAAATTAAATACATTACAGACTTTTATATAAATCTATTTGAATTATATATTTATTTTAAAGTATATGTTTTTACTCATTTTAGTCTTTTTTTAAAGAATTTTTTAAGTATATTTTTGCTGATTTGAATATAAGATATTGTATAAAATTTTAAAAATATTTATTAATTTTTGTTACATATTTACCCTTTACTAATGCAATTTTTATTTATTTAAGAATTAATTTAATAATAAAGCTTGACTTTAATTAAAGATAAACTTAAAATGCTGCAATTAATTTTTCCAAAACTAACACATTAACTACTTGTAATAACTTTTCTTAATATACATAATTTAGTTGAAATTTTTTTATAAAAAAGATAAAAAGAAGCATTAAAGAGTGATAGAATTAATTTTTAATAAAGTTTCTAATGTATATTAAAAGATAATACTATTAAAAAGTAAATTATTTAATATTCTTAATATATTAGACTAGATAGTATCATGTGATTTTTAATAACAATATATATATATATATATATATATATAAACTTTTATGATGTATCTTTAGATACTTAAAAAATTAATTATTTTTCAATTATCGTATATCTGTGTGTCAAAATAAAAATGAGAAAAAGAATAGAAAAAAAACCTGAGCAACAATATCTCCCTCAGCAATGTTTGGAGTGGTGGTAGCCTCAACTGGGACTTCTCCCTCATTCAAGGCAAGATCCCTAGGACTGCTCACGCAACCTCCCATTTTTAAATATAAATATTGAAGAAATGGGAAAATGAGGAGGCTGTGTGGTTGAGGGAGAAAACACCAGTTTATCGTACAATAGAAATTGTAACAAAGGTGCTGAGGGTGAGTCTTAACATTGCCCAAAGGGTATTATATATACCCACGAATGGTGCTTTATTGGGATCTCAATTATAGGAGCTGTTTTCGGATTGTAATAGGAATTGGCGATGTTGTGTGGCCAAATGCAACGTGACTCTTTCTAATGCATGGCTGGCTGTTGGAGTTAGTTATTATAGTTAACCTCCACTTTTGTTTTCTTCCTTTGGTTAGTACACGGTGTTAATTCAGAATTGATACTATACATATGAATTCGTCTTACTCAAATGTTTGTGGTTTGTTTTTTCAAGCAAAGAAGGTTCGAATTTTCATTTCCAGTTCAATTATATTTGATGAACCGTTTCTTCAAAATTCAAAGTTAGTAGTTGGCTTTTAAGAAATTTAATTTGAATATCTGCCAAAGGTTGCTCAATTGGAATATGAAAATTAATTTATACTAAAAATTTCACTTTTCTTTAAATTTTGATGCATAGAAAAAGTTAAAAGGAATAAAAAAAATAGATATTACTGTAAACAACACTAAAAAAATTCAATAAAGATTAAAATAATTAATATTATATTTTTAAAGAATACACTATTAATATTATTAGCGTTTATGTTTCACTTGTTGATACAAAATCTTTTTTTTTTTCAAGTTTTGGAAAGATTTAAATAATTTGATTTAAAATATTCTACATGCTACAAAGATTTTTATTGATAGAAACTTCAACAAATACATGTCAGCTTAAAATAAAATAATGTACAAAATTTTATATTAATTTTAGTTTAGAGAGTTAAACGAGAAATAATAATTTATTTTTGATTTATTAATGATATATGACTTTAGAATTATGAACATTTATTTTACTAAGTGTGAGAAATATTTTATCACTTATAAAAATGGAGTTTCAAGATCACATTTTTTTAAGGAGTCTAAATAAAAGAAATTTTAAGCATATTGAAAATGATTTTAAGAGAGAATTTTATTACACAACATAGAATTTTTGTAATTGGTATTCTTTTAAGATTGATAATCAAAGAACTCGACAAATTATAAATTTAAAAATTAAGTAAATACTATTTAAAGATGATAAATAATTGAATTTTAAAAACAAGAGGTTAAAAAAGTTGTTATAATAAATGTGGGTGAATCTAGAAACTTTGAGTTAAAAAATAAGGATTTAAATATAATTTTTATTAACTTGTAAAAGATATATGATTATGTGTCAAGTAATGTATAATAAAAGACTTTAAAAATAAAATAGATTTATGTGATCTATATTTAAATTATACAATATATTATAAAAAGATAAGTACATGTCTAAGAATTCTTATAAGTGCATCATAAGACTTTCCTATACAAATAGATTTACATTAGGATTTCACTTTAAAGTTTTACTTATTTAATCTAGTCTTAAACATACTTATAAGTGATATACAATAAATAATACCTAAGCACGCACCCTTTGCAAATGACATGATCCTAATTGAAAAATTAAAATAAAAAATCATAGAAACAAACTTGAAATAACTTATAAAAATTATAAGTTGTTTTTCACAAATTGCCTTAAACTTTTGCTTATATGAATAATATCAACATAATGCGAGTTTAAATTCTTACAAGTTTTAACAATTTTTTTTAATATTTATTTAATTTAATTTTAATTTTATTATTATCTATTTACGTACAATATAACTTGATTCATATGATATAAAATTGATATAAATGATAATACGAAATTTGTACCTTTAATTTTTATATATATTTTTAGTTCTCAATTTTAAAAATGTTCACTTTATTACCTAAAATTTTATTAAAAAATATGAATAATATGTATTATTTATGAAACACCACATTCATATCATGGGCATTATTCATGGCTTAATTAAATTATATAAGGCAACATATATGTTATGCAAATAAATAATGGAGTAAGATAATATATTTTAACAAATAACCAAATCAAAATAAAAAAAAAATATTTTTTAAATACTAAATTAAAAAATAAAATAAAAACGGGGATGAATTAAAAAAAATCAAAAATTAAAAAAAAATCTGTTTCCAAACCACACGCAATTAGGCTTGCAAGTCAAACACAAAAAATATATCACTTGAAGATTTATTGAATGAAGAAAATAAATTTTGTAAAATTCATTACTCAAGGATTTATATAATCAATACAGTTGCATTTTTTTATTCATACGCAATGCTATGCAGAATGAAAAATTCAATAGTTTCTTAAATTTCTCAGCATTTAGTGTCCAGTGGCTAAAATTTTAAAATAAATTTTATTTTTCCATCATATATACATTTTAATATAAAATCAATAAATAGAACTAATTTAAACGTGTTCTAATTATGTATTATAATTTAAAATTACTTTTACCTAATTTTAAAATATTCAATCCTCAATTAACTTCCCAAAGTCAACCGATGTGTTTAATGTATATGGTTTATTATGGTAGAAAAATAAAGTTTAAATTAGAACATGGAAACATATAATTTATCCCCATAAATCAACTTATGGATACCATGTTTATGTTTTCTATTTGTTGGGTAGAAAATGAAGTTCAAATAATCAAGAAAAAGAAATCGCTTTCACGTAAGGTAAGAGAAAGTCACAAAATTAGATTAAAATTTATAATCAGATTATATATTATTTATCAACGGATTCTCCTGCAATTCATATTCTATGCGTCTATTTGTTTTAACTTCAACTCATTTGCAAATCAGCGTTGACAGAAGAGACATGTCTCAGAAAAAAAACATATTTAAGCGTTTGAAGTCGTAAGAATTTAAGACAAATATACACTTTAAGGATATGTAAACATGTACTGATCAATCAGCAACATTAACTTAAATAATTAAAAATTAATTTCATTACGATTAGAAAAATCAGTCCATCGAATAGTAAATGATTATTAATATGTTTTTAATTAATAGACTTTAAATAAGTTATCCTAGTAAGTTGAAAGCTGATTAAATTTTATGCTGTATTTTAATTGCTTCCATAATGAGATTATATTTAATTTTTTGCGTTCATTTATTACTAAAAACAAAAAGTGTGTATATTTAATGAAAATAATGGATCGGACAAACAGTAAACTCAATTCTCATCAATATTTGCTGTGCATCAAAGAAAATAAAATAAGAAAGAAAGGTGCGACGTAAATAAATGTAATTTGGAGACAGAGTTGTGGCAACTCTCACCATTTTGAGAAGACAAGTAGCAAGAATACACTCGTTCTAATTCATTTTTATTTTGAATTTAATTTAAATATATTAATAATATAAAACAATTATACTATCACTTAATAATAAATTATTATATTAGAAATATAGTTAATTTTTATAATAATTAATATAAAAATTACATTTATAGTATATTTTAATTGATTGACGGTATAAAAATATACTAAAAATAAAATTTTTATTTATAAAAAAAAACTAAAAGTGAAAATAGCATAATTTTTAATAAATTTTAATTAATAAAAAAACGCGTTTGAAACAACGTGTTTCTGCCATTTCTGGTTCTCATTTCTCACTACACAGTACATTCTTCTTAACCCATCAGCGAAGCATTCTCCTTTTCAGACAACGATTCCTTCTTCCCGTTTCTCTCTCTTCAAAATTAAACCCTTAGGATTCAATTCAACCACATTTCAATTCTTCTTACCGCATTCTCCAATTCCGATATGGCCGGAATCGTTTTAATCGCCGTCTTTGCCCTCTGCGTCTTCCCGCCGGCCATAGCCGAAGACGCGCCCTCGCCGGTCCTCCGGTTACAGTCCGAAGGGAAGAGGGTGTGCGGCGGGGTAACGGCGTCGTCGTGCCCCGTTAAGTGCTTTCGGACGGACCCGGTTTGCGGCGCGAACGGCGTGACGTATTGGTGCGGGTGCAGCGAAGCAGCGTGCGCCGGCGCACAAGTTGCGAAGTTGGGTTTCTGCGAAGTAGGGAATGAGGGTTCTGCTCCTCTGTCTGGTCAGGCACTGCTTCTGCTGCATATTGTGTGGCTCGTTGTTCTTGCCTTCTCCGTCTTCTTTGGTCTTCTTTAATTGCCCAAAGCATGTAATTATAATATTATATACACGACTATAATGCCAGAGCCAAGATCAATATACTTTTTTTTTTCAGTGCTAGTTCTACTGAGTGAATCTTAACACAAGAATTTAAGGATACTCATCTTCTCCAATTTCTCTTGTTAATTCCCTGTTCCGGCATTTTTTTAATTATATATTTTTTAGAGTGGGTCGACTAATAAATAATAGAATTTTTATTTAGAATAATAATATTTAACTATGTTATATAATTTTTAATGTACCAAATCTTATAATTTTTATTATGTGTTGTTTTGACACTTTAAGAAAATTGCTTTGAATTTTGACCATTTATGATTGTTGTGGTTTAAATAGTTAGGGTTGTTTTGTTTTAGTTCTAGCTTCTTAATAAAGGAAAATAATCTATTATCATTAATATTTTGGTGATAGGAGGGTAGAGGAAAAAGAAAAATATGAAAAAAAGAAAAAGAAAAAGAGAGGACTTTATACATAAAAAAAAAGTGAGCCTAAAAATACAAGAAAGCATGTTTTGATTAGTTGGAACATTATTGAATTTAGAATTGAGATATCGCTTTTACTGAATCTCTGAAAATGCAGTGTTACATTTTAGTGACTGATTTTGGAATTATGAGACAATGGCAGATGCAGGCAATAGTTTTCTTATCTGTGATGTTGGTCGAGTGAAACTTAACGAGGATGTCAATCAGCTAATAGTTGAAGATCAATACTGCTATGTCTATATAGGAATCGGAATGTGAAAAGTTAATTTTCAAACTTGAATTTTCATTTGTTAGATGGAGTTAAAAGCTTCTTTTCTCTAATCCTTTCGTGATAATAATCCAAAGCGTTCCTAGGATACGTTTATTCGTTTCCTGATTTTGCAAGTTAGGCGCACGCGTTAAACCTCTATTTGCTGTGGAAGAGAGACTTTCAAGAGTTTCCGAAACTCTCCTCATTTGGAATGCAGAGGAAAAAAGCAAGGTGGCCCCACATCCATTTGCTTGTTTCTCTCCAAATTTGAAAGAAAACTAATGAGTTTAGGAATATTATATTAGATTTAAATAATTTTTAAACAAGAGTAAAAGTATATTATGATATATGTAATATTTTATAAATTTAAAACATAAATATTTCATTATTGATCATAAACATTCATTATATTAAATTGAGACTAAATTATAATTATTTTTTCATTTTTATTAATGTAAATTTTAAATTAATTTCAATTATAATAATCTTAAAATTAATTTTATTTTAAAAATACAAGAGAATTATTAACATAAGCTCTTAGAACTAATTTTAAATATTTGAAAGTGATACGATTTCAATTTAAATATATAAGTATTTATTATTCCCTCTATTTTTTTTTTACACAAGCAATTCAATATTGTTTATTTTTATTTTATATAATTAATGAACAATTATTTTATTTTATAATTTTATCTTTAATAATTAATATGTGTTTGGTTGAATAATGTGTTTTTCTTTTTGAAAATACTCCATTTTTTCCACCAACTCATTTTAATAAATACAGTAGATGATTGGTATGATAAAAATTTAAGTAATGCTTTCTTTATTCCTTATGTTTTATTTTTTAACTTTTTAGTTTTGATTCAAAAGTTTTGTTGTCTCAAATTTTTAAGACTTGTTTATTTTTTTCACCTATGCCCTTATTTAATTGTGGGAAGTTAGATGAGAATAAATGAAATGGTTGAATGTATAAACAACATATTTCAGTTAAAATATGATAATATATTTCCTTAATTAGATTATGTGCAAAAACTTTAAACAACACGATTTAAGGAATGGAATGAGTACTTTTTTAATGAAAATTATAATACTAATTATTGTGCAAATTTTTAAACATCAGAGACAGATAAACAAGGATTTTATAAATAAAAATTTTATTAACTTCAACTTTTAGAGTTATATTTAAGTATTAAAAACAGAAACTTGTTATCAAAAAGTAACATGTTTATTATATTAAAGTTATAAGAAGTACAATAATATTTCTTTTGTCAATAAAATTGTCTTAATTAGATTATGCTTACAAATACACGAGTATCCATTGCCAGTATACTTATAAATATCTAGGAGTGAAATTTTTGTATCCCTTTGCCTTGTTTTAGTGTATGTTAGGATTAAATAAGATTAAAATAATTTTAATCTTTCAAAATATCATTTTTTTACAAATATAAACATTTTATTTATTTTTAGTCTCTGCATTTAACAAAAATAATATAATCTTAGTCTCTCTCTAGAGACTAAATGTACAATTTTTAAGGATAAAAAATAAATATAATTTATAGAAACTAAAATAAAAAGGATACTATTTTTTAAATACTAAAAACTTATTAAGTACAACAAAAATGAAAAATTCCTTTAAAAATGATAAAAATAAATAATATGTTTTTGTTCAATAATAAAAAAAAATTAAAAAAATAAATAAATCTAAGTCTAAATGTAGGAAAAACATGGAACTTCATCAAAATAGTCTACAGCTAGAATAATTGAGTTTTTAAGTTTAAAATATACGCCGGGAGATAGACTATCATGAAACTATTTATCACCATAGAAAATGAGTGTAAAATGATTAATTATTAAGAGCAATTCTAGCATCAACACTGTACCCATTATCCTAATTAATTAATTAATTAATTTTTCATTAATTAGTTATCCTAATAATCTAACTATAAAAGGATTCCTCTATTACAAAGACCATTTAATAGATAAAATACAATAAAAATAAATAAAAATTGGGTAAAAACATGATATGATAAAACTAGGGAAAAAAAAACTCTTATCTTATGTTTAATAAGAAATGAAATTAGACATTATATTATCTTATTGTGTTTATATCTAACTCAATATCTCATACGATAAAGTTTACACTAAATAAATAAATAGGATAAACGCATAAAATAGCCTTATAATGTTACATTAGTTAAAGAAATACTAAAAATAAGATTGAATGAAAAAATTTATCTTATTTTATCTGCCAAACGAATCTTTAATAACATTCTAATTATCAGGCATTGCCAGCAAAAACGTTATTCTTGCATATTCTGATGCATTCAAATCCTCTTGGCACATAATTGTTTTTTATGCAGAGCTTTTTCCACTAAATTAATGGAATGCCTTGTGCTAACTATTTGGACACCCCATCACAAACGAAATATCACATTTTAATAATTTAAAAGAAATCAAATCAGCAACTCTGCCAAAAATTAAACAAAATCTTGGTCCCTAGTCACAACTAACATGAAAAAAAAATGTCTATGCCCTAGTAAACAGTGTCTAGTCTAAAGCTTTGCGTTCTCCAGAGTCCCGTTGCAAAACAAGCACTCACCGTTCTCTAACACAGTAAATGCTCTGCTTAATCATCACCCCCTTTTTAAAATTTTCATCCAAATTCAAACGAAGAAAGCACTAGTAGGAAAATACATATGAGAAGACAGAATAACTCATTTCTTTTCTTCATATTGTTTCCTCCCCAAAATTGTCAGGAAGAAAGATACGTTGTCTAGTCATAAATTATGGGTATAGTAACAACCAATGTAAGCCCAACCAAACTCTCTACTTTCCTCTCTCGTAAGTTCAAACTCAATTTTCACGGCAACATCCATAGACTTCAAAACAAATGAATTCATCAAAATGGAAAATTTTGCAAAATCGAAGACTAATCCCTTTTTGGTGGGCTTTGAAGAGAAAATCCAGATTTTCCATTGTAGTTTGGGATTGCATCAGTTGTAGTAGCAGTTGTCGAGCTCTCATTTTCAACCTCACCAGAGGAATCATTTGCTTCTATTTGTCCGGCTATTGAAGGGGGTGTGGTTCCACTATGCTTATCACTGGAAACATTACCAAGCAAGCTTTTATACATAGTAAGGGCTTGAGCCATCATGTTAGCAGGGTTGGACGCAGAGCTAGGAAGCAACATTGTTGTGCCCTGCAGAAAAAGTAATGACCACAAAAAAATTTCAAACTGAACAAATTATGCAATGCAGGAACTTGCATATATCAATCCCCTTATAGGCTAGCCTATTACCTCCTTGGCTATGTTACTGAAAGCTTGAATATATTGCTCAGCAATCCTTAGACTTGCTGCCTGCAAACAAAAAGACAATTTAAATTTCTTCCCTTTAGTTCCATGAGTGTGTTAAAACAAACATGCCAATTTAGAGGGCAATTTTATTCACAAGATTCCCGAAATGATTTTTTCCCCAGCATCACCACTAACACCAACATAAATATAATGAACCCTTCTACCCTATTCATATGGTCACATACTTGAATGTCTTCAAGAAATCAAACATTATAAACAGTCAACCAGATGCTGTTTTGAAAATTGTGACTGTGATAATGTGGTTTACGAGTCTCCCACTCGCACATTCAGTCTATCCTGGAATGACATATGCAAAAATTAAAAATGCCAAGCATCATTGACATACAAACAGTAGAAATCTCACTATAAATTGCTCACGTCGTGCACAATTTTATGCCCAACACATTTAAAAATATACATAAAAAAGCTAGAAAAACAAGAAGACTTGTCCCACTAGATGAAATGAAAAAGATAGAAAATAACTAAATTATATGAATAAAAGAATTTTAACATAAGCAACATAGAACAACCAACAATAAATTCAACTAATCAACATATAGTTCACAGCTTCCAAAAGCTGTGATATATGAAATATCAAAAAAAGAGAAGACCCTCACCTCTGGTCCTCCATTTTCTTTTAGAGATTTTGACACAAGAACCAGTCCCTCAGCTGTTGCTTTTGCTTTAGCAAGGATGGCTTCGGCCTCACCTGAAGAAGAATCAAGTTAATGATAAGGTTTTAAAGATATCAAGAGGAAGAGACAATATAGTAAGGGATCATCAATTGAGCTAATCAATAGGGATTTCTTCAAAAAAGTTGTTGATAAATGAAGATAACAACATGCCAAATTGAACACAACATTAACGGTGGCATGTTATTAGAGAACACATGTCAGCTAAGACTATGGTCCAAACCACATCACCATCTTGTCGTGCATAGAATCCACCTATGAACACTCTCATATAAAAGACTGTCTTAAATCAAGTAATGAAATATCATACCACATTTATCATATATTGATAATTCTGTATTTTAACATATTTTTACAGTCTATATCTACATGCATAACTATTATTTTATTAGAATTTTAAACTGATTTTTATATTAATTGTACAGTTTAATATGAGAAGATTAAAATTGGTTTTTAAGTACATTTTGGGAGTATCTTGGCTTTGGTTAATCATTGACGACTTTTGGACCTTTAGTTTGCATTTACTTCTCGAATGATTATATATTGATTTATTATTGTTTTAGTTTTCTATTGCATTATGTCTAACTAAATACATAATTAAAGTTATGATGAATCATTTACATACCATAACTCAATGTAATCTTTATGTTTATTATATAATTTCAGTTTTTTTTATTAGTGTTTATTCTATTGCACTGTATTCGTATGTTCAGAATTGACAACTCTTAATTACATTATAATTAATTATATCATAAGCAACCTTATCCTATATACTTAATGGTTCTATAGAATAAATCGAGACAAAAAATTAAGTTAACCAAACTAAATTTTTATTTTTTAATCATTATTAAATTAACAAACTCATACGTTTTTTATGTTATCTCTTTTTTTTTCTTACATGATCATTGAAAATAATAATTTAAAAAAAAGACGGTTAACATTGCATAGCTATTGAGTATTAATAAAGTTAGTATTAGTGATTGACAATCATAAACATACCAGAATTAAAATTAATCTAAAAGTAAACATAAAAGAATGTAAACGTGAAACCATATGCTCTAAAATTCATCTCGAATAGTTTACTGTCATATGTTGCGTTGTTTTATTTTTTTTTTAATTACTTTTAAATCTAAGTCCTTTCTTTTATTTCATTACTTATGTTTTTAATTTAAACAATTAAATTAAGATATTCTTTGTACTTGAAAATAATTTTTATGAGACAATATTCTAAAAACTTATTTTAAAATCTTTTATTACTTTTCGACGGGTACACTTGTTCACAAATAAGTTTTTAACACTATTGTGGAGGATTGAATACAGGTCAGACATCAAAGCTTATCTTAAAAGATTAATAATTTTGCAACATAATAAGAAGTTGGAACTGATTTATCGATATGTAATTCACCTTGAGCTCTGTTAACTTGATCCATCTTTGCAGCTTCTGATGCTAAGATTACTGCACTCTTCTTTCCATCAGCAATGTTTATGTTCGATTGTCTTTCTCCTGTTTAACACTACGAGTGATCAGGACCATTAAACATAGAAGCTACAGGTGGAAGTAGACTGAGGAATATGATGCCTTTTCTGTTGCATGACATGGATGACGAAACTAATTTCGAGATAATAAATAATGAAAAATATCATCGTTGAACATATGAAGGATCAAAATATCAAATTGATTACCTTCAGACTCAAGAATTTGAGCTCTCTTTTTCCGTTCTGCTTCAGCTTGCATCTCCATAGCTGCTCTCACTCCACGTGGAGGAGAGATATCCCCTGCAAGAGGATAACCACAAAACAAATTACACAGAAATGTTAAAGTAAAAAATAAAAGGAAAATTGTTTATACATGGTCAAAACTTACTTATTTCATATCGAAGACACTCCAGACCCCAACTTTTTGCAGCCACATTAATGGCCTCCTGCAACAATTTTGTCACAATTAACCATTATTATCCGACAGCATATGGTTAAAGAATTGTCCTTTAAAATTCTTCTAAACAGAAGACTATCTATGGAAGGACACAAGCCCATAGCTGTTAGTTCGTGTTTAATATCTCCTGTCGTTGTTAAGTACTAATTTTGATATCAACTCAATAGGGAATTGTAAAAGTTATAGCTACTGACACTTTGAATACCTATCAGTTTGAGAATAAAAAAAGGCTTCCTTTAATTTGGGGATGACTTTGAGATAACAGGTGACTAACTGACTAAATAAATGTACATAAAACATGAATTAACGCTTTACCTATCCATATCACCAACTGGATCCTATGATAAATTAAGGCCTTAACACCACATTGCACCAGATTATTAGGAGGAAAGGGACCAATATCACACAACCAACACAAATATTAAAAACTTTCATCTTTAGCTATTGTCTTAGTCCTTTTTATTTCCTTTCTTCTATATATGATTGGATTCAAGCAGTAGAGCACGAGTATTAAATCATAAATCGAGCAAAGCATTCTTTTCACATTTTGCATAGCTCCATGTAAAAAGACGCATCTTTTTAATCAGAACTTATGTGCTGCTTATATAACACTTCCACATTTTCAGTGTGACTGGAAATCTAAAGTAGCTAAGATGCTTCATTTGAGTATACTCCACTAAAACACAGTAGCACTAACAAACTAAACTCACCACAATCTTTTCATTGAGCGTGTCCCTTTCCTCAAAGGTCTTGTCAAGAGTAATCTTACCAAGCTCGCTACGCATTGTTGTTTGCGCCAGCTGAATGACAGCGTAAATCGGATTCTCCACTCCATACGAAGCCAGCTTAGGATCCACAATCTGCAGTCCACCAAATAAAAAATATAAGTCACTAAACACTCACATACAATAACCAAATTCAGAGATGCAAAATCAGAGACCTTGACATAAAGCACACCATCAATAAGGATGGTAACATTATCTTTGGTAATTGCAGACTGATCGGGAATGTTAATGGCCTCCTCCTTAAGCGAATGTACATAAGCAATACGATCAACAAAAGGTATCAAAAAATGGATTCCGGAGGGAAGAGTCTTAACGTACTTTCCGAATCGCTCAATCACAAACGCCTTCTTCTCCGGCACAATTCGAATCCCCCAATTCACCGGCGGAATAATCTCATAACTCCTGCATAACAATTCAAAATTTAAAATTTAAAAAGAAATCGTAATCTCTTTGTGGAAAAACCTAACAGCAATGAAACTAACCTCGAGATAGGATCACGACCTGGGCGAAAATAGCGAACGGAAGAGAAATGTGAAGGAATGCGGCTACTGGATGTCAAGTACTGTCCAAAATAACGCACTGCGGTTTTAGCTGTGTTTGTTTTCCAAATGGTCGTCATTTTCGTGCTTTGGATTTCTCTGCAACTTCAATAGTTCCTTCTTTCGTGCACATCAAATTTATTTATCTTTTCTAATTCTATTCGCCGGTTGCTTCTAACAAAACCCTAGTTAAACCTTTACCATGTCATTTTTATTTTTTATTTTGCTGAGATCTCATAGATGATTTTCTTTTTCATGTAACATTCTTATTTAAGATGGGTTAGTTAAAACATATCTTTTTGTATGTTCTCCCTTTACTTAAATTAATTATTTTTAAGTATTTATATTAATATTTTTTTCAAAAAAAAATTTACATAAGTTTTTTTTTGTTTTTCTTACGTCTTATTTATTAATTATTATGCTTTAAACTTAGATCACTTTCACCATAATATCTAAAATGTTATAAATAATTAGATTATTATTGTTATTATTATTATTACTATTATTATAATAAAATATCAGTATTATGAAATTATTTGTAACATTTTAAATTTTTTATTATAAAAAATATTATTACAGTTTGATAAAAAAAATAGTTTAAATATATATTAATTATTAATTTTTTATATTCTCATTTATTATGATATTTATTTTTAAAAATATGTTCGTAGATTGCACAAGTTTATTTTAATTTTATTAAATAAATCTATCTTAAAAAAATATATAATTTAAATATAAAATATATACAAATATAATAAAAAATTATTATATTATATATGTTAAATTTTAAAAAAATACTTTTGAATAAATAAGTAAAATTTTAATATATATATATATATATATATATATTATAATACATATTATTAGTTATTTTAAAATAAAATATAATAAATAAAGTTCATACGTTAATAATTATAATAAATTCTAAAAGAAAAATACATAAATATCAACATACTTAAAAATTTCCTAAAATTTCTTAAATTTTTTTTAAAAAATTAATGATATAATTAATAAATATTTTTTTACTACTTAAAAAGTATATTTTTTATGATTACAAAGAATAAATTAATTTACAAAATTATGATACATAATAAATTAATAATAATATAATATATATTTTTAATATCTTTTAGTTTTAGCCATTTCATAATAAATAAAATTAAAATACTAGACTAAAAGAAATATGTTGATTAAGTAAAATATAAATAAAAAAATTATTACTATAATAATAATAATAATAATAATGTCAGCATAAATACATAAAAAATTATATGGTAATGTATGCAAACTAAAATATATTTATTTTTTTATTATTATATAAACAAATTTATTTACATAAACATATTAGAACAGTACTGTAAAATTTAAATGTGTATAGTTTAACATTTTCTAAAGTTAATTTTATTAATTAATAATATTTGATAAAATAAAAAAAATATTTATGAGAAAATTATGAAACTAATTTTAAATAGCATAAAATTTATTATTTCTAAAATCTAAAAATAAAATTTATATTGTTTCATGATATTTTTAAACTATTCATTATTATAAAATTTTAAAATAAATAATTATAATAATAACTTATTAAATGTAACAAAATTTTTTAATAGAGTTATGAAGTTTAAATATGATATCTTATAGTTTTTGACTTATGCATTTATTTATATTAACCTAAATTTATATGATAAATGATTTATTTATAATTATAATTTAAAATTACTAATAAAATTTTTACAATATCATTATAAAAGAATGATAAAAAAATTTAAAAAATAACTCATTCAACTATATAAAAATAAAATTGTATTTATTTAACTAATATATAAAATTTAAAAATATAATTTTAATATAAATATATACAAAATTATATGTTAATACCAAAAAATAAAAATATATTATTTTTTTGTTACATAAATAAAATTATTATACAAAAATATTGTAAATAAAAACTACTAATAATGTCATATATATTCTTAATTTAGAAGTTTAATTGTTAATAAAAATAAAAAATATAGAATTGAGTTTTTTAAAGTGATTAAATTATTTTATATTGCTTGATAACTTAATAGAGTTAATATTAATTATTATAAAAAATTAATTTTGTTAAATAAATAATTAAGTATAATTAAGTTATGTTGTGTGGTTATAAAATTAAAATAATAAATTTATTGGTTTTTTTGTTGCATTTGTTTTTAATTTTTAAAATAATTAATATGGTTTGTTAATAATATAATAATATTTTTAAAAATTTATTAAAATAAAATTTATTAAAATAAAATTTAGAAAATAAATTTAAAATGTTAGATGAAAGAGAACATATAGATTAAATTAAAAATAAGCAAAAAATATATATTATTATTAGGTTCATGATTATTTTAAAAATATATAAATATAACTTTAATATAAATATATTAAAATATTATACTGTCATAAAAAATAGATATATTCTAAATATTGTCATGAAGATCTATGAGTATATTTGAGATTTAATGATTGATTTTAAATATATTTTGTATGTAACATTTTTATGTCTATTTCTATAGTGTAATGTTTTATACATTAATTACTTCTAAAAAAAAAGTCAATAATTAGTGAACATAATTTAAATATTATTTTTGAATTAAAAATTATATAATTTTAAGAATATAACATAATAAATAATCATATATTATTTACGTTTGTAATTGAATGTTCTTAGCAAAATTTTTAAAAATATTAAAACTTATTTTTCAATCTAAAAATTTTAAACAATCATATAATTAGAATATAAAATACTAATAAATAAATGTAATTTGATATGTTAATATAGAGAATATTTTTATAACATTTTAAACATCAACCTTTATCTTTCTCAGCTTATAAATTATTATGTAATTGTAAAGATTTAAACTTCATATTTATAAAATCTTAAAAGTACATAAAGAGCAATATGAAGAAAAGATTAAGGGATAAAAAACTCTAATTAATTTTTGAAACAAATGATACATATAGAAATTAAATATAACATTAAAACTTAATTTAGAATTAAAATATTATATTTTTTGTACTTATTCATTTATTATGATATAAAATTATTGAATATGAATATTATATTTTTTTGTACTTATTCATTTATTATGACATAAAATTATTAAATACGCAAATCAAATGGTTACTTAAAGATTTCATTATCAAATCACATTCATCTTTTGTTGAGTAATTATTTTCATTGTTATGATATTTAATAATATTTAATTTATATCAATTATTATAATTAATTAATTTGAATTTGAGAATTTTTAATTTATTATCATCATTATAACATTTTATAACAAAAAAAAATACATTGTAACAAAATCATTAAATATAAATACTATAAATTTTTTATTTATAAAAATTAAATTTGTCATTATAATTATAATATAAATATAAATAAAATATTGTCTAATTTAATAAGTTATACATAATTATAATATATCAATTCTTATTAAATCATTTCTTTAATAAATTAAAATGATAGAAGAAGAGAAAAAAAGAGTATTTAAAAATTTTAATTAAAATTTGAATAGAAACTAAAAAAGAATAGTGATTTTATTGGATATAAATATTAATCCTTATATCAATTAAAATTACACATGTTGATATAAATTTATGAGTCATATAAAATAGATAAATGTTATTATAAGAATAAAATCAATACATAATATATATAATAATAAAGTAAGAGAGATATATATAATAAAATGACAAAATTACTTTATAAAAAAATGAAAATGTTTGATGACATTCTACTTTTCAAATTCTACAAAATTTTAAAATTATTTATACAATAATGCAATAAAATTATTCAATCTTCTAAATCTTTCATTGATGTCTTTTGTTCAGTATTGTTTGCTTCATCTTAATCGAGCTGCAACGTAAAATAAAATATCAAATATAAATTAGTATATAATTTAAGAATTTTCAACAATATATTATAATTTTATAATTTATACATTAATTTTTTTTGTTTTGATAACTTTTGGTATTTTCACGGTTGAAAATATATTCGAAGAACTGATTGCCAAGTCATCTTCTTTTATTTTCATATTTATATTGTCAAAATTTTATTCTTTTTCAATATATAAATACTAAACAATAAAAATAAAGTTATTTATCATCGTATTATAAATATTATAAATGAAAACAATAAAACTCTAATTTAATTTTCTATATTACCTTTACTCCAGCTTCAAAATTTTATTTGCTATAAAATTTTATCTTCCATGACTTTCAAAGTAAGTACTCATTTTTATTTGAAAAATATGTGAAATGCCTATAATATTTAAAAGTTATAGAGTCAACTTCAACTATTCACTATCATCCTAAAAAAAATTATCACATAAAAATAGTTATTTATGTTAATATATTTTATTTATATAATCTATCATTTGATTCAATTTTTCAGTGAGTTAGATTTTAAAACATTTGATTACAATTTTAAATCTATCTTTGTTTTTTGTTACTGAAATTTTTTTATGTAATATATTTTTCTTTCCTTTATTATATCCTTGAATTAAGTAATACTCACTAATGTATGTAATTGTTCTATAAAAAGAAAAATTTAATCAATTATAAAATTTAATAATAAATCAAGTTAGTTAGTATAGAACTACTTATACAAAACAAAATTTTTATCAATTAGTACCATATCAGTACTAAATAACATTTTTTTACGATATATGTTTAGAAGTATCTCATAATTGTGATATTCACGCTTTTATTTTTCAATTATCCATTATTGAATCATATTGTCAAGGAAAGTCCATTTATTTTCATCAGAAGTTGTTATTTGCCTACAAAAATATGGAAAACATAAAACTAAATAGTTAGTTGTGATAAATATAAATTGAATCTACATATAAATATGTCAATCTGCATAAGTAAAAAAAATATAGATCGATTTAGATATATTGATTAAAATATAATATGTGGTATAAAATTAAATAAATATTTGTAATTTTTTTATTTGCCAACTTTAAAATATAAACTTATATGATAGGTCAACTTCATGACATAATTTTTGATAATCTAAATTTATACTATTGCAAGTTAAATTAGTTAAGAAAATAATGATAGATTTGATACAAATTAATAAGTTAAAAATAAAATTTAATACATGCTATCATTTAAAAATAATACAATTTTATGTTTATTTAAAAAATTAAAATAAAATATATGAACATAATTTACTGAAACAAAATAAAAATCATCAACCTAAAAAATACATGTCCTTACGTGGATAGATAATTATTGACACTTAATATGGTTGCAAAAATCTAATACAAAGAGAAAGAAAGATAATAGAAAAAAACTTTTTAAAAGTTATGTAAACATGACTTATAGAAGTAGAGATGAAGTCTTATTTGGTGACATATAAAAAGTCAAAAAATAAAAATAAAAATCAATATATTATGTATTAATTCTGTATTATAATTTACTTGTTTTTCATTATAAATTTACTTTAATAATATACAATATAAAATAATAATTTTGTAAATATAATTTTTTTATCTCAAGATATATTTTAGTGTTTGAAGTAGAAATTGAAATATAGAATATAGTAAATTATTCAATAAAATAATTTAAATCAATAATATTCAAATGTTGAATAAAATCTCATCATATTTTTGTAAAAATATTTGTTTTCAATATTTTTTTTCCTATTTATAACATTTGATATTGAATTTTTCCAAAATTTTTATTTATAATAAATTTTAATAATTTTTTATTAAATGTCATTCATAACAATTTTGTTACTATCATTTTTAATATTATATAACTATCAATTCTAATAATTTTTTTTCTTTAAATACAATTCAAAATAATATATATGAATTAATTATAATTTCAATTCTTAAATTATACAAAATATTATAATTAATTTTAATAAATTTTAATTTAATACAATTTTAACTTTATATATATTATAATTAAAATGTTGAAATATAGATTATATTAGATTAATTAATAAATTAATTTGAATCAATACCATTTAAATTTAAATATAATTTAAAGTAAATATATACTTTTTTTTTCAATTAAAATGTAATTCATTAGATTTTTCTTTTTTTTATTTTTAATTTTTGACAATTATTTTTTTTTTTATCACGTAAGTGTAGTTTTGTTATTAATTCAAAGTATATTTTAAGATTTGAAGTACACATTGAAATATAGGTTATATTAAATTAATTAATAAAATAATTTAAATCAATACTATTTAAATTTAAATATAACTTAAAGTAAAGATACAATTTTTTTTAATTAAAAGGTAACTCAATAAATTTAATAGATTTTTTTTCTATTTTCAACATTTGACAATAATTTTTTTTAATAAATTTTTTACCACATAAGTGAACTTTTACTATTAATTCAAACTACATATCCGAGTTAGAAGTATATATTTAAATATATAATATATTAAATTAATTAATAAAATAATTTAAATCATTACCACTCAAATTTAAATGAAAATTAAAGCAAAAATATAATTTTATTTTTAAATAAAGGGTAACTTGAGATCTTTATTAGATTTTTGAATACATATCTTCGTCAATTAGATGCAATTTTGACAAATACAATTTTATTTTTAATTAATAAATAAATTAAGAACTTTATTAAATTTTTGTAAAAATATTTTCGCTTAAGTAAATTTGTAAAGCTTAAGCCAAAAAATTCGCGTAAAATTTTTTGTTGTTGGAGGGAATCTGGATCCATTATTGACATGACATCATTTTAACAACTTACCCATTTCATGGTTTGTACAGGCGGCGAAGCTCCAAAGACCAAAGAAATGCAAACATATATCACCTATTGAAGCTTTCCAACAAGTAAAATGGCTGTTATTAACAGCGTCCATCATTATTTGATTGGACAACATATCCTTGAGAAAAAAGAAAAGAAAAGCCAGGAGTCTATACAGTAACTCAGCTAAATTGAGATCTAGCTGATCCAGTGTGCATTTAGCGCAGGAATTAGACATCTAGTTTTACACTCCTTGAGTGAATCTCACTTTCTCTTGGTCTCAAACTCCTCTCTCCCACGTTCTCTTCCCAGCCTGCTCCCTCTTAGCCTTCCTCTCACTCTCCCCTCTCAGTCCCCCTCTCGCTTTCCACTCCAAGCCCTCCTCCTTCACTTCCCTCTCAGCTTCTCCCTTCCGCTCTTCCCACCCTCATCCTCTATCTCCAAAAAAATTCTGCACTAAATCTAGAGGGTGACCTCTTGCTCTGAAACAGGTGAGGGTTCTTGCTCCTCGTCTTTGCCAGCACCCATAGGGTGTCTGAGAAAGTCATTGCATATAATCATGGAGCAACCCGAGGTGGAAAGATGGTTGAGGGCGAGGGTTCCAATTTTTTTTTGGAGATAGAGGGTGAGTGTGGGAAAAGCAGACGGAAGAAACTAAGAGGGAGGTGAAAGAAGTGGGCTTAGAATGCAGCAGAGCCAACTGGGGACTAAAAGGGGGAGAAGGTAGGTGGAGGAAGGCTTGGAGTGGAGAGCGGAAGCTTGGAAGAGAACAAGCGTGAGAAGAGTTTAGGACTAAGGGAAAGCCGCGTAAAACTGGATGTCAAATTCCCGATACTAGAGAACAACCAAAAAATTTTAGATCAAGAAATGACGAATTGCGTCCCACGTCCCAGATCAAACCGTGGTCATAATGGTGACTATGAAAGAAGATATATTAACGGCAGTGGAATTGCTCAACCATGAGCTTAGCATTGCTAATTTTAGCTGGAGGTAATGGAATTACTCAACTGAATAGAAAAAAGGTTGTTTTAAAGGGAAGAAATAAGTATATGCAACAGCTAATTATATCATCTAAGGAGAGAGATTGGAGAGGAATATCCATGTGTTTTGTGAGAAGAAATTAGTGACTTTTTGGCATCGGGAGGTGCAGACTCTCTATGTTCTGCAGTTTATGTATTATGTTATGTAAATTATAGATGTGATTATCCACTTAATCTAATAAAGATACCAAGTTATCAACATTTTGTACATGCCTCGACCTGCGGGATATTCGAATGGATACGGGATTCATTGGAAATTTGGAGACCATCCTACTTGTTTAACAAACTTGGCAAAGTCCGGGAGCTTGTTTATAATGGACACGCGGGTAATTGTCGATGAAATCGGCAAGAGCCAAGTGTTCCGTCACATAAATTGTATTGTCTCTAGCTGAAACCGATACTGGGTTATTGCCAAGTGAATACTGATGAGATATATCATATATATCAAGCCATTTCAAAAGGAACCATGTGAATTATGCCATACTACAAATGGGAGGAAATGTTATAACACTACTAGGAATGCGAGTAAAAGGCAAAGACAAAAAAAATGCAAAAACCAACTGGAAAACGAACAGGATTCAACAGAAACTAAAGGAGACAGAGAACCTGCGGGAATAGGGAAAAAATGGTTATCGCTTAAAACTAGCACGATAGAATGCTTAATAGGGTAAAACATTATCTAAATAAAAATAAAATCACTTTCATTTCTTGTTTTGGGGAAATGACATTGAATTTTATAATTGTAATTTCATATTAACAACATTGAGTCAAATACTTGAATTAACCATTCATTGAAATATTTTAACCACTTATTAACTCAATCAATCACTGAATTAAGCACTCAACATAAGACAGATGAAATAAACAGAATACCTCTTGACTTCGTTGAGAGGCAGCAATATGCATAATAGATTACCACTTCCAGCAAATACCAATACCAATGCAAGAAAAAGTAGAATTTCAAATAAGATATTCCAAAAAAGAACACTTTTACAACACAAAATTGCAAAATCCAATCTCAACAAGCTTGAAAAAGGGTGTTCAAATACTAGCCAATAAACAATAAGAAATCCATGCAGACGAGAAACTCGATACTAACTAATATAAAAAATGCCTTTTTCCACGATCTACTCTTCCACTATTGTTCCCTTCTCGCTAACATAAATACCATCAAGAAACTTCCGGATATCCTTATTTTTAACATGGCATTTCTGTAGCAAAAAAACAAATAAAAATTAAACATTAAGCAACAGCAAAATCGGAAAAGGATTGCGTGCGGGCATGTGCAGAGAGAAAGAGTTTACCTGGTTAATGAGAGCACAAGACCTAGAAACAAGTTCAATATCATTTCCATCCAAAACCAGTTCATCCTTCACCTTTTCAGATCGCACAACAGAAACGCCGCCAAGCATGTCCACTCTCCGAACCTAATGATACACGTAATAAATCACTAATCTTAATAACATAATATTTCACAGCAGCAATTGACTTAGAAATTAAAATAAAAATTGCAACATAAGAAGCTCAACAAAACTAAGTGAAGCACCTTCTTCTCGCCGAGGAAGTTTCGGATCTCGATGGATTTGTTGCTGTTGGTGATGCTAGCATTGATTGGGAAATGAGCGTAGACGAATCTCATCTTGTAGCGGTATCCCTTGGTGACGCCGGTTATGAGGTTCTCGACGTGGCTGAGGGCAGTGCGAATGGCGGCGGAGGTTTTGCGAGAGCCGAACCAGGACTCGATTTTGAGCTTTCGCTTGCCGTTTTCGTCGGTGATGAGTTGGAAATCGAGGTTGAGATGCTTGAAGTCTCGAACAAGCTTTCCGCGAGGACCTTCAACCTCGATGACTTTGGCGTGGACTTTGATACTCACCCCATCAGGGATGTCCATTGTCTCTGAGGAAAGAATTGTCTTCATTTCTGCAACTCTCTTCCTCCCGCGGCTCTGTGACTGTATCTATAGAACACAACTCAAAAACCCTAATGTACCAATATATAGGAATGCATTATAAATTGCTATTGGGCGGGTCTGTTGTTCGGGCTTTGGGCTTAATATAAATACTGTTGAATAATCATGCATTGAGCTAGGCCTATAAATCTTTGTAAACCAAAAATTGAAGTAGAAGAACTTTCACTAGATAAATAGATAATTATTTTAATGTTTTTTATTTTTATTCCTTCACAATTGTATTTTTTTATCACATGCCATTTTTTTCTAGAGAATATATCATTCTCCTAATTTTTCCTCTCTCTTTTCATGGTGTTACTTTGCATATATTATGCATCATGAATTTAATTTAAATATATTATTAATTTAAAAAATTATATTTATATAATTATAAATTGTCATAGTAATGAAAAATATTAATTTATATAAGAATTTATATAAATATTATATCAATAATGTATTCTAATTAATTTACAGTATACTAAAATAAAACTCTTTTTTATTATCATATGTGAAAAAGTAGTAATATAAAGATAATTGAACCAAAATAGTACAGTGACAGTTATTTAAAGACTAATAGTATGCTTAGTTTAAATTAAATTTAAAGAAATAACTATTTATTTATTCATTTTTAGAAAATTGAAAGAAATTCTATTATTTTTAAAATAAAATAAATTAAAAATGCACCAAGTTTCTCATTCTTATAATTTATTTAATAAGATAAAAAATTATTAACTATTAAAATAGTAATCAAATTAAGAGTGTATTAGAGTTCTTATTTTAAACTTTTTTAAACTTTGTTTTTTTTTAATGATGGAAGATAAAAAAAAAAAAACTAAACTAACAAAAGACAAATTAAAACAGCCAAGGATTAAAGAAAAGTAATATGAAAAAGCCATTTAATTATTAATATGATAACAAATTAAAAATTTTAGTTAATTTATAAATCAGCCAAACTTTTATATAGTGAGTATAAATTCATTGTTATTATTACAAGTAAATTTTTAGAGTAAAGTAGAAAATATGTCCGTGACGCACGGTTTGTTTTTTTATTAAATTAATTTATTTTAAAATATAAAATATATAATTTAAATATAAAAAATATATAAATATAATAAAAAATTATTTTTTAAAATAAATTATTATTTAAAATTATTTAAAATATGTATAATTTAGTATTTATTAGCATAAAATAAAATAACATACAAATATTTTATTTTTAAAATGTAAAAATAAAATTTATATTGTTTGATGATATTATAAATTATTTATTATTATAAAATTTTAAATAAATAATTATAACAATAAATTATTAAATATAATAAATTTGTTAATATATATTATAAAATTTAAATAAAAGGTCTTATAATTTTTTATTTATATATTTGTTTATATTTGTTGAATTAAATTTATATGATAAATTATCTATTTAAATTATAATTTAAAATTATTAATAAAATTTTATTATATAATTATTAAAACATGATATCATGCATGTTTTTCAAAAAAAAAAATCTATCCCACTAATATATAAAAAATAAAGTATTTATTCATCTAATATATGAAATTTTAAAAATTGCCTTTAAATATTGATATACACAAAATTATATATTAATATTTAAAAAAATATATATATTAAAATTTTTATATATAAATAAAATTACCATACAAAAATATTATAAATAAAAATTAATAATCATATAATATATATACTGAATTTAGAAGTTTACTTTTGGATAAAAAAATATAAAATTGAGTTTTTTTAAATGATTAAATTATTTTATATTTTTTTATAATTTAATAGAATTAATATTGATTGACATTATAAATTTTATTTAATAATATTGACATTATAAATTTTATTTAATAACCAATTAAGTATAATAAAATTATGTTATTTGGATCATAAAATTAAAATAATAAATTTATTAATTTTTCTTATATAATTATTTTTTAATTTTTAAAATTAATTAATACAGTTTGTTTATTATTTACTATTTTAATGAAAATTTAATAAAAATAAATATATCTATAAATTAATTTAATAATAAAATAATATTTTAAAAATTTTATTAAAAGAATAAATATTAGTTTAAATAAAATTTAAAAATAAATTTAAAATACCATATAAAAGGAAACATATAAATTGAACTAAAAATAAGTAAAAAAAAAGTATATTATTACTAAGTCAGTAATTATTTTAAATATATATAAATATAAATTTAATAAAAATACATTAAAATATTATATTATCATTAAAAAAATAAATATGTTCTAACTATTTTGACACAAATATAGTAAATTAGATATTTGATTTTTGTTTTTAGATATATTTTTTTTGTCAATCTCTTATACATTATCTAATTCTATAAAAAGAGGTTAATATTTAGTGAACCTTATTTAATTTTTTTAATTAAAAAATATATAATTTTAAAAATATAACATAATAAATAATTATATTAATAAAAAAATTATACTGATTTCATATTTTTATGTATAATATCTGTATTTTAATTTATATCTTGAAAACTAATTGTAAATTTACAAAATAACTAAGTTTTTCTACTAGGAAGCACTCTTTTTTATGTTTGTAATTGAATGATATCATAAAAAAATTTAAAAGTATTAAAATTTATATTCCAATCTAAAAATTTTAAATAATCATATAGTTAGAATATAAAATTCTAATAAATAAATATAATTTGATATATTAATATAAAATTATTTTTATAACATTTTAAACACTAACTTCTATTTTTTTTTATATTTAAAGTCTTTTAATAGTTGTAAAGATTTAGATTTCATACTTATAAAATTTTAAAATAAATGATATATATATAAATTAAATATAACATTTGAACTTAATTCAAAATTAAAACGTTATATTTTCTTTACTTATTCATTTATTATGATATAAAATTATTAAATATGAAAATAGAACAGTTAAATCATATTCATTTTCATTGTTATGATATTTAGTAATTTTTAATTTATTTTAATTATTATAATTAATTAGTTTTAATTGAAGAGTTTTAAATTTATCATCATCATTATAGTATTTTATAAAAAGACATTGCAACAAAATCATTAAGTATGAATATTGTTAATTTTTTAATTTAAAAAAATTAAATTTGACATCATAATTATTATAATATAAAATATAAATAAAATAGTCTATGTTATTAGGTTATACATAATTTTGATATATCAATTTTTATTAAATTATTTTCTAAAAAAATAAATAATAGAAGAGAAAAAAATAGTAGTTAAAATTTTTTAATTAAGATTTAGGTAGAAACTAAAAGAGAAGAATTGTTGTATTTAATACAATTCATCAAATCTAATAAATATTTTTTAAATACAATTCAAACATAATAAGTATGAATAAAATATAAATTTCAATCAGTAAGTTTTACATTTTGAATTTTGATGTAGAAAGTAATAATTAGATGCAGTTAATATGAGTGACTTTATAGGTTCTAAATTAATTATTTAAATATAATTCATTAATTATAACAAAAATTCTTTAAATACATTTCAAAGATAAATAAGTATGAATAAATATAATTTCAATTCATAAGTTATAATTTTCAAATTTTAATGCATAGAGTAATAAGTGAGTACACATAAGAGTGACTTTATAAATTCTGAATTTGAATGCATAGAGTAAGAAGTAAATGAAGTCACATATATAAAGATGACTTTATACATTTCAAAATTTAATGTATAGAATAATAAACAGGTGTAGTCAATTTTACATATAGATATAGAAGATAGATATAAATAGATTTTTAAGATTTTTTAAATAGATTATTAGTCTTCGTCTTAACACTCTAATCCAATAAACACTTATTAATTTTTGTAGTGATTAGAATTATGTGTTTCATTTTTTTTTTCTTACCTCACTATTGTCTCAATCACGTGTTTCACTTTCTTTTTCTACCTCATTACTATCTCAATCATTAAACTTAATACCTTTTTCAATGATTTTGTTTTATTCTTCTTTTTCTTTCTAATGTTTTTGCCCTCTTTATTGTACAGGGTTGTAGTTTGTTGATTTGAAATTTAGGGTTAGAGTGGAAAACAAGTTTTGTGAAAATGGACAAATAGTAAAAGATTGTTTCCTAATTCTTTGTCGTAGATATGTTTGAATATGAAGAAATATAGACAATTCTAGAAGGGAGGGGATGCCATTGAATCAAGAAGGCTTGTGTGAGGAGAAATTAGAGGTGTTAAGATGACAAGTTTCATTGTTGTGTTTATGTAGAAAGCTTTTTAAGTTAAAGGTGTGGAACTAGTGTAAGAGGGACCATGTGAAAGTTCAAACATGGTGGAGGGACTTTGGGATAAGTGGTGGTGTAAATTATTTATTCATTTTGAGAAAATTAAAAGAAATTTTATTATTTTTTAAAATAAAATAAATTACAGACACATCAAGTTTTTCATTTTTATAATTTATTTGATGAGATAAAAAAAAGTTTTTATCAACTCTTAAAATAGTACTCAAATTAAGAGAGTAATAGAGTCCTTATTTAAGTTTGGTATTTTCCCTTTTAACTCCTAGTTTTTTCATGATGGAAGATAAAAAGAAAAGAAAAAACTTAAGTCTGACAAAAGAAAAATTAAAAGAGCTAAACTAATGATTAAAAAAAAGTAATTTGAGAGAGTCATTTAACCATTAATATGATAACAATTACATTTTAGTTAATTTATAAATTAGCTAAACTTTTATATATTTAAATATAAATGTGAGTAAATCTTTAAATTACTTTTTAACATTTTTAAATAGATTATTAATTTTTATCTCTTTAACATTTTAATCTAGTGAACAATTGTAAATTTTTGTAGTGATCAAAATGCATGTTTCAATTTCTTTTCCTACTTCACTACTGTCTCAGCTATTAAACTTAATGTCTCTTTCGACAAGTTGTTTTGTCTTTCTTTCTTTTTTTAATATTCTCAGCCTCCTTTCACCTTTTTTACTGTAGGGTTGTAGTTTGTTGATTTGAAAT